TGTAGTGGTGGTGGTTTTAAAGGTGGAGGTAGTGGTGGTGGTGGAGGTAGTGGTGGTTGTGAAAGTGGTGGTGGTGGAGGTAGTGGTGGTGGATGTAGTGGTGGTGGTGTAGGTGGTGGTGGAGGTAGTGGTGGTGGTTGTGAAGGTGGTGGAGGTAGTGGTGGAGGTAGTGGTGGTGGTGGAGGTAGTGGTGGTGGAGGTAGTGGTGGAGGTAGTGGTGGTGGTGGAGGTAGTGGTGGTGGAGGTAGTGGTGGCTGTGAAGGTGGTGGAGGTAGTGGTGGTGGAGGTAGTGGTGGCTGTGAAGGTGGTGGAGGTAGTGGTGGTGGTGGAGGTAGTGGTGGCTGTGAAGGTGGTGGAGGTAGTTGTGGTGGTGGAGGTAGTGGTGGTGGTGGCTGTGAAAGTGGTGGAAGTAGTGGTGGTTGTGAAGGTGGTGGAGGTAGTTGTGGTGGTGGAGGTAGTTGTGGTGGTGGAGGTAGTGGTGGAGGTAGTTGTGGTGGTGGAGGTAGTTGTGGTGGAGGTAGTTGTGGTGGTGGAGGTAGTTGTGGTGGTGGAGGTAGTGGTGGAGGTAGTTGTGGTGGAGGTAGTTGTGGTGGTGGAGGTAGTTGTGGTGGTGGAGGTAGTGGTGGAGGTAGTTGTGGTGGAGGTAGTTGTGGTGGTGGAGGTAGTTGTGGTGGTGGAGGTAGTGGTAGAGGTAGTGGTGGTGGCTGTGAAGGTGGTGGATGTAGTGGTGGTGGTGGACGTGCACGACAGAAGAAACGCTTCCCGGTTTCAATTCCCAGTGCGTCTGGCCGTGGGCGCGTGTGTGGGTTGCCAACTCTGCGAAATGGAAAAAAAAAACAACCAACGGGACACACACCTCGCTGGAAGATGATGGAGGACAAGAAGAATGCATATTCTTGGGTCTTTGGTAAAGAATGCAGTGTTCCCCCGTTAGTCATGAACTTGCTTTCCGCGATTTGGGCTCCCCGGGGAATCGCATTCGTAACTCGAAGCGACTGCTGCATCGAGAGAGAGAGAGAGAGAATGTGTCCTTGTGGGAGCAGTTAACGACGTTGTAGCGATCATCATCATTGTCATCATCGTCATCATCATTACTGTGCATCTTTCCACCGCACAGAATCATCATAATTTAAGGTAAATTCACGTACAGTATAAACTATTTCTTTATTACTCTTTGGTTCCTTCGGTAAAGTCACGTAGGTATAAATACAAAATTGTGATTTATTTTATTTATGCCCACGTGACTTTACCGAAAGAACCAAAGAGTATGGATTCCTGCAGTCACGAAAGCTTCAAATCAAGATATTTCTTTATTCTTTCATGTTTATTTAGTATTTTCTTCACGTTTATTTACAACCAATTTTTTTCGTTGTTAGCATACTAATGTTCACAGATTGAATAGCCTGTGTATATCCATAACAGAGGTTTTCTTGGGTTAGAGCGCGTAAATATCTAAATGTGTCGTTAAAACCCGCCACCACCCGACACAGCAAACTAGCAAGGGGTTGTCACGTCAACAGAACGTGCCAATTCGTCACTATTGGTCGCGACAGCCTACGTGGTAAGCCTATATATATATACACGTATATATTAAAGGTAATTGGTAAAAAAGACGGTGTTTTTCGTTTGGCCAATATCATTGTCCGCGTGATTTGCTACTCTCTGGGACCTATCAACCCCATGGCCAGCAGCGAAGGGATCCTCCGTGCATCTGACGATCGCGGAAGAGAGCGGCGGTAGCAGACTCCGTGCTGTGCGCGCAAGTTACTCACCCGGGGGTCTCAGCCGCCCCTTTGGTTAATGAACTAAAACTCAATTTTTATTTAAAGCTTTCGTGACTGCAGGGATTCATATTCTTGGTTCTTTCGGTAAAGTCACGTAGAAGGAAAACAATAAAATAATAAAAATGTAAAACAATAAAAATTCCCACGACGTTTCGACCGCAACACAAGCAATCATCATCAGGTTTCCCTTCTACGTGACTTTACCGAAAGAACCAAGAATATTAACTGAAACTAATTCATAAAAAATATATATCATACCAGGTAAGGCCACACTGAGCTGTATAGCTCTTTCTCAGAAGCGACCTGGCCACAAATGATAGCTCAATGAAGTTTTCATGTGGAAATTTATAGTGGCCAAAAAAATAGTAAACGCGGAGGGAAACACGCCTAGCTTTCACACGTGTATCCACGTACGTTTGTTGAACCTCTTTCGCACGGTACGTAGCCAACCGTGGCTTTATAAACAGCTTAACTGTGAACAGGTCCTGGTTGTCAGCCCCAGGCCTGTCAGGACTACCGACCCCAAGGCCCCAGACCAACCTGTTGACATCATTAGACCTCCTTTGCCAGTACCAAAATGTAATAGGGTTTTTCCCCTTTTTTCTGACAACAAAACTGAAACCTTTTTACAAGGATTCATGTCTGCATTAACCTGTTTCAAGGACAATGCATATATTATCATAGTATGTTTTTTGTTTGCATTTTGACTGCAGGTATTGTGGTTAATGCAGTAACATGAATCCTTGTAAAAAGGTTTCAGTTTTGTTGCCAGAAAAAAGGGGAAAAACTCTATTACAAGCTGTTGACGTTAAAAATTAACAAAAAACGAAAATTCGTTTCCCCAGAAAAGCCTTACAGCGCTGTCTCGAGCCTTTTCCCCGAAAAGAGAGATCCTGCGTTGGAAAAGTTTATCCAATTTCAAATGTTTTGTTGTTATTACTTTTTTTTAACGAGACACTCTGAATGTTGAACACCAGCCCCGGGGAGTTTTTTTTGCTCGCCTGCAACAATGCTGCTGAAATTATGGAGCTCTCAGAAGGCCATGTGTGTCTAAGCTGATGGGTTGTGCAAGATTTATTTATCTCTCATTATATATATATTTTACACGTACTTTTTTATTTTCATATAAAAAAACGCATGTACGTAGAAGAAGACGCATTGGCTACGTGTTTATTTAGTCTCTGTTTTTTAAAGGAGCCTTTCGCATGTGGTAGGAAACTGGAGAACCTTGAGAAGACCCGCACGTGTGCGATGGGGTAACCCTCAAACTATAAACGAAAGTTTTATTTTCATTTTACCAGGCAAGGCCCCACTGCGTAAAGAGCCCCACGTGGCTGCGAGCTGGCCACCACAAATTGATAGCACAACGAAGTAGCTTATCATCACATGAGAGCAACAGACAAATTGGTTATAAATTTGGAGGGAAAAACCGGAGGACCCGGAGAACGTGAAAACTCCAAGTATACAGCAGGCGTCAGGGTCCTGATCGAACCCACGACCTCCTTGCATAGCAAGCGAGGTAGTTAACATCTCACCACGGAGAGAGACACGCAAACTCCAAATATACAGCAGGCGTCAGGGTCCTGATCGAACCCACGACCTCCTTGCATACCAGGCGAGGTAGTTAACATCTCACCACGGAGACAGAGAGAGACACGCAAACTCCAAATATACAGCAGGCGTCAGGGTCGTGGGGGAGACAAAGGGGGGAAGACCAAGGGGGGGGGGGGCGGCGAAGGGCTGGAGCCAGGATGGAGAAGTGGGGGGCCACCACGGTGGAGTTCTCCCGCGCCGCCGCCGACCAAAAATCTCCCGGGGAGAGCTGCGGCGACGTTCCGTTGCCTTCCGCCCCCTCCGCACTCAATGGCCCAGAGAACTCGCCCTGTTGCCCGCTCGATCGCTCCTCGCGCACTGCCGCCAAGAGCCCGCGCTCGTCACTTGTCTGTTGACGGATGTGTCGGCCGCCCGCCCGCTCTGTCTCTGTGTCTCTGTCTCTCTCCGAAGCGTCGGGTTGCAGGCTCGCGGACACCACATCTGAGAAGCGCTATGGCTCTGCCTCTCAGACTCATCCGGGCCGGGGGGAGGGGGGTGGGGGGTGGAGGTTTTTTTTTTTTTCAGACCCCCTTTTTTCAATTTTGAAAACATTTATTAGATTTGTTTTTGTGCTAGTGTCTGCCCTCCTGCACATTTTCCCCTCGCAATTAAACTTGTGGCCGTCTCTCCGCGTTGCAGTTTTAGAGAGTACGGTCAGATGGGCGAGGCTGCGATTAGACAGTACAGCGTGGTTCATAGAGTCGGGCAGTGTGGTGAGAGGGTACCAGAGGACGGCGGAGATGCTAACGGCGTGTGGGGCGCGCGACGTTTTGCGGGACGTTTCGAAGCGGAAGGGCGTGCGCGTACGTGCGTTGAACTTCTTTAGCGCCGTTCGTAGCCGACGGTGCTGATCGGAGGCGCGGGAGGGAATGACAACAAACCGAACCCAGAAAGCAGTTCTAAAGGAATGAGTTTGTCAGTCGAGACGATGATTGAAAAGTGCGCAGCTCCCTGTGGCTTCCTAATATCGGCAGGGAAGAGCGTTCCAGACGGCCGCAGGAGCGTGCGTCGTGAAAGCGCCGCTGCGGGGGTGACGGACGGAGTCCGCGCGCCGATGATTTTGCGCTCTTTCACGAGATCGGCGTGGTGCCGCCGTTCATTTGTGGCGAGCGCAGAGGTCCTCCTCCTCCTCCTCCTGACATCAATGACAATGGGGGAGGGTTGAAGTTTGAAGTGGCTCTTGAGTTAATACGGGAAAGACGCCTTTCTTGAGAGTGGAGTGTCTTTAGGCGGAAGGGACTTGAAGGTCCCGGCCCAACCGATGCTCCCTGGCGACCCCGCAGCCCGAGTGCCAAGGGAAGCCCAGCCAGAGATCACCGCTGCCCTGGAACGTGATCTTCGTTCTAGGGATGCAAAGGAGGGTTCTGGTTTGATTGGCACAACAACAACTGCAGCAGCAGCAGCTCCCCAATGCACAGAGGTGCGAGGTCCTTCGGGGCATTGAATGTCAGGAGGGGGACCTTGAATTCTCTACGGAATTGAGCGAGACGAACGAACCCCCTCGACCTTACGACCGCGAGAGCCCCGCTCCCTCCGCTGACTTGTTGATGTTTCTCTCCGTCCCGTCGTCTGAATCCACCCAAATCCCCCCTCCCCCCCTGCCCCCACTCCGGCCACACACAGAGGACTGCGTGGACAATGGCAGGATGTACCACCTGCAGGAGCAGTTTGAGCGCACGTACCACGGACGAGCCCTGCGCTGCACGTGCCTGGGCGGCCAGGCGCTGGACTGCGAAGCCGTCCAGCGGCGTGAGCGACGGTCGCATTGACGGCACCGCACCTCCACCTCCTCATCATCCTCCACCTCCTCCACCACCTCCACCTCCTTCTCCTCCACCTCATTCTCATCCTCCACCACCTCCTCCTCATCCTCCACTTCCTCCACCACCTCCACCTCATCCTCCTCCGCCGCCTCCTCCTCCACCGCCTCACCCTCCTCCTCCGCCTCAACCTCCTCTGCCTCCTCCTCCTCCTCCACCACCACCACCTCATCCTCCACCACCTCATCCTCCTCCACCTCCTCCTCCACCTTTCTGCCTCCTCCACCACCACCTCCTCCTCCTGCTCCACCTCCTCCACCACCTCATCCTCCACCACCTCATTCTCCTCCACCTCCTCCTCCACCTTTCCGCCTCCTCCACCACCTCCTCCTCATCTTCCGCCTCCTCCTGCTCCACCTCGTCCTCCACCACCTCATTCTCCACCACCTCATCCTCCTCCTCCTCCTCCTCCTCCTCCTCCACCTTTCCGCCTCCTCCACCACCTCCTCCTCATCCTCTGCCTCCTCCTGCTCCACCTCCTCCTCCTCTTTCACGAGCGGACGGTTACAGTTGTCGAGCCGCAGGCAGTGCGATGGTAGTGGCCACGCAGCCAAAGCTACGCACCCCTATTCGTGAAGCTCACATAGACACATAGAGATATAGCGAGATACATAGAGACTCGTAGAGCTAGAGATACGTAGAGACTCGTAGAGATACATAGAGACTCATAGGGATACATAGAGAGTCACAGAGATGTTATGATGCCACTGGAGGTATGCGCTTTTAAATCGTTTAGATTGAAAATTCATTTCTTTAGAATTGCTTTTTCTCTCTGTTTTTTATTTGTTGTCATGCCCCCGCATATGGGTCTCTGTGGGTCTCTGTGGGTCTCTATGGGTCTCTATGGGTCTATATGAGTCTCTGGATCTCTATGGGTCTCTATGGGTCTATATGAGTCTCTGGACCTCTGTGGGTCTCTATTGATCTATATGAGTCTCTGGATCTCTATGGGTCTCTATGGGTCTATATGAGTCTCTGGATCTCTATGGGTCTCTATGGGTCTATATGAGTCTCTGGATCTCTGTGAGTCTCTATGGGTCTGTATGAGTTTCTGGATCTCTGTGGGTCTCTTTGGGTCTCTTCCTTCTGATATTAGGAAGCCACTGGCTGCCACTCCAGGTTGGCATTCTTCTTCTCATTGTCGTCCATCGCCCATCGTCCCATCGTGGGGAGACGTGTCACGGCCGGGCCCTCTCAGAGCGATCCGGGAAGGCAGTGAAATTGACATTTTGCGTTGCAGTTTGACTGTGCGTAAAAGGGAAAACAAAAAAAACTAAAACTTTTTTTATGGGAAAGCAACGTAATGGTGTCCGTTGACTTGTTTTATCCATCCGCTTAGAGGCGGAGTGAGGGGAGACGGGCCCTGATGGCTTTCCTCCGACGTCATAAGGGTTTTATTATATACTTGCTCTTTTGTTCTCGAAGACATTGAATGCAGCCCAAGAGCGATAAAATGATCCGCGCGCGTGTTTATTATATCGCGCGGGGACATCTGCGGCGTGTCCGAGGCACTCGTGACAAGCGGGCTGAACGTCCCAAAGCGCCGGTCTTGGGTCGCTGCCGAGGGACGCTGAGTTGGCGATAGCGGGGGTGGTGGGGGGGGGAGAGAACGCAAGGGGCGGTAACGTCGTGGCGGTGGCGTTCGTCGGGACGAGGGGCGAAAGTGTTTTTCCTACTCGAGCTGGCGTCGCGGCTCAGGGTTTGAACAGCCCCGAGGCCACTCGTGGGAAATCCTCCATTTCCTACGGCACGGGGCGAGTATGTACCAGAGGACGAGTTTTGGCCGGGTCATCGAACAAAGTCGGTCACCGCGTCGCAGCAGTTTTTTTTCGGATGCGCTCCTGTGGCCGTCTGGAACGCTCCTCCTATCCGATAATACGAATAAGCCGCTGGGGCGGCGCAAGTTTTAAATCACCTCGATGAGAAAACTAATTTCTTTAGAACGGCTTTCTAGTGTTGTTTCTCGTGCTTCCCCCGCACCGCCGATTAGCTACGGTTGGCTACGTAGGGTGCGAAAGAAGTTCAACAGACGTGCAAACCCCGCACCTCTGATGAGCAGGGTTGGCTACGTAGGGTGCGAAAGAAGTTCAACAGACGTGCATACCCCGCACCTCTGATGAGCAGGGTTGGCTACGTGCGGCGCGAAAGAAGCTCAACGTGCACCCGGCCACTGTTGATTTTCCCCGCAAAGTGGGATGAGCCAACTCCCAGCGAATGAACGTCGAAGCGTCCTGAAGCAGTGGGACGCTGTACATGACCACGCGATGATTGGGCCACCTCGTTGACCCATCGTGTGCGATGGCCGGGCGCTCAGTGGGGCCTTACCTGTTAAAATAAAAAAAAAGTAGTTTAGTTTTTATAGCGTGTAACTGTTCAGTGAAAGCGATGAGCAAAGAGGGGGGCGGGAGGGGGGAGAGTAGCAGTCAGAATCGGAATATTTATTCATACTGGAGGAATCCGATGAGCTATAAAGCTCCTTTTCACAGATGTCCAGTCGGGGCACGGGGTAACAACATTACAACAACAAACAGTAACAAAAACACGGTTGGAGTGCAAAGTACAAGGATGGTTAACAAACCACCCAAACACAAACAAATACAACACTAAACCATCCTACCAGGCAAAGCACACTGAGCTATTAACTTATATTTCAGAAGCGACATGGCCACAAATGGTAGCTCAACAAAGTGGCCCCATCACTTGGACATTTACTGCACCAAAATAATCTAAATAGTCTAAACGCACCTTGATTACAAACGCGGAGGAAAAAAGCGGAGGACCTGGAGAAAAAAAAATCTATGCGTCCACGGAGAGAGAGAGAGAGACACACGCGCATACTCCAAACATACAGCAGCTGCCAGGGTCGGGATGGAACCCCCGACCGCTTGCGTACTAGGCGAGGAAGATGACATCTCAGCAGTCGCCTGTACTTTGTCAGCTGTCCGGTGCGGCTCATCGCGTGTTTACAATCGAAACAACAGAAACTCCACGCGGACAAACAGTTGTAAAGTAAAGTGGTCGGGATGCGAGGTGGGGTGGGAGGGGGGCGGAGAGAGAAAACCCATACGCGTTGTTCTAACGGTTAAGCCGAACAGACTTGAACGTTAAACAATCCGTGGAAATTGGGCGCGCGTTCAACATTACGAACGCATGACTCTGCCGCAAAACAATAAAAAAAATAACAATAATTAATAATCTGCTGCCGCCGCCGCCGCCGCCGCCTCGGTTGTATGCGAACAACACATTGTGCTCGCCGGATGGGCGATGGAGCGGCGTTCACTGCGGTGCCACGTGTTATTGCGATGGGTCGCAGGTATTCCAGCGCATTGTATTTCACTTTAATGTTGAGGCCCCCCCAACCCCTGCTGGCACGGGGTATGGAAGGGAGGGGGGCAACGGGGTGGGGGGGGGGCGGAATTGCGCAATGCCATCTGCTTATTCTAAACAGGAAGCCTTATATCCTGACTTGATTGCTACATTGAGGGGGGCGGCAGGGAGGGGGGGGCGCGGCGATGGTGGTGCTGGATCCGCACGAGGGATCGCACAGTTCCCGTGCTCTCTACGGCAGCGAGATTGTTCGAACCCAGCGACATGGACGAAGCAACATGAGTGGCAAACGACATTATGTTTTGTTGTTGTCATTGGTGACCGGATGGAGACCACCGAAGCCAAGTGAATCGCGGGGCGGTTGCCTCTCTCGCCACACTCCGACCGAATTCAGCGGAAAGACAGCAAAGACAATCAACATCTCCTGCGCGGAGGATCTGTAGCGGTCATCTTTGTACGCACGTACGTCGAATTTCGCACCGCACGTAGCCGACCGTGCTCATCGGAGGACAACAAACTAAAGTACAAAAGCAGTCCTAAAGTACTTCGTTTGCCGGTCTAGGTTTAAAAGTGCACAGCTACAGTGGCTTCTTTATAATCTCGGAAGGGAAGAGCGTTCCAGACGGCCACAGCATCGCGCCTGAAAGCGCCGTGCGATGCGGTGAGCGTCTTTGCTCGACGGCGAGCCAAAAGCCGCTGCGGGGGTGACCCGAGTTCACGTGATGGTCTCTGCTCCTTGACGAGATCAGCGAGAGGTTTTGCGATTCATTCGTGTCAAGCCCCTTGTGTGTCTGTGTGTGTCACGAGCGCGGCCTCACAGTGGATCCGTCCGGCAACCGGAAGCCAACGCAGCTCGGCGAGCAACGGACGGTCACGGGGTCGGATCTTGCAGGAACCCGTCACGACCACGTGCCAGAGAATTCTGTACACGCCGCAGCTTGCTAATGGGGGTTTTGGTTTTTTTTGCTTTTGCCAGACGTCCCGTAGAGCAGCGAGTTGGAATAGTCCGAGCCTTGTCGATGCATTCCGCCACGCGCCGCCGCGTTGGCTCCGGCACGGCTCGGCAAGCGGCCTGAACGCCGTCCGTTCGAGCCCCCGGCACGAACTCGACCCCTCTGGCCTCGCGTCGCCTCGCGCCCTCACCCTGAAAACGTTCCAGGGGTCGCCCTCGGCGGCAGGTCGCGGCAGCTCTCACGCGCGCGGTGCGTGGTGGCGTGTGCGCAGCGAGCGGCGAGCAGGAGTGCTTCGACCAGTACACGGGGCGACGCTATTCGGTCGGGGAGACCTGGGAGCGGCCACGGAAGGGCATGGTGTGGGACTGCACCTGCCTGGGAGCGGGCATCGGACGGATCAGCTGCTCCACCGAAAGTAGGTTTAACTGGGGGGGGGGACGGGGAGGGGGGCGTCGTCGCGTCGGGCGTCACGATCGTTTCATGCGGTTTTTTTTCCCTTCTGAAAATATTTTTTTTATTATCTCTGCTAAGAGGGCCGGCACATAAATGACGTCACGCGATTTTGGACGATTTTTGACCCCCGCCCCCCCTTCGTCACACGGCGTCACAAAAAGTCAGACCCCCCCCCTCAAATATGACGTCACAAAGCTCTGCCCCCCCCCCCCCATACCATGTTTCCATTTTGAAAATGAAACGTGCTTCAAATCGCTTTAAACTACTGTCATTGTAGCGCGTATTTAATGTGGCGCTGCACTCTGATGTTGCAGGAGTAAACATTTATTAAAAAGTCTATTTAATTAAGTAGAACGTGTTGTCTATATATGTCTGGACCCCCCCCCCCCCCAGGTGCGTGACGTCATTTATGGACGGCCCCTAATGTACACACTGCATTATTTATATTTATGCTCTCGGTTGCCGCTATGTCCCCTTATATTTGGCAGCCCCAAAGAGTCTTCCTCCCCGGCGGCCCCCCAACTGCCCCCAACTGCCCCCAAATGCCCTCAACTGCCCCACCCCCCCCAATTTGTTTTAAGGACCCAGCCCCAAATGGGGTCAAGGAGATTGCACGGCAAAAAAAAATCACGCCGACAAATTGTCACAGAGCAACGTCTCGCTGCCAGTTTGTTATGCAAACCCGTTTAGAAAATTTTAAAAAAAATATTCCATAGCCCGAATTTGGATCGGTGTTTACGTGTCATACCTGGTTTTTTTTTCTGTTGACGCAACAAACCTTACTAATTGGCTGCGTCGGGTGGTGGCGGGTTTAACGACACATTTATTTCCACGCTATCTAACCCGAAAATCAATCCTGCGTTGTGGGTTACATTGGTTGCAAAAGCGTCCTACGTGTTCAATTGGGCCGGTGCGTTTACCAAATGCCCCAGGCCGATTTTTTTTTTAGTCCCAGTCCGTCCCTAATCGTTACCACGGTTACCATTGTTACCATTGTCGTCGTCGTCATCAACGGCAGTGGCGACGATAGAATCGTCATTATAAACAGCCACAGCAGCGGCAAAACGAAATTAACTCGACACTTCCCGGGTACGGTGTGTCGACGAAGAGCCGCGTGCGACCTACGACCTTTCTCGCCCACTCGCCTGCCACGTGACAGACGAAGCACCTCGTGTGAAAGGTCACCGGGCGGCACGAGCCTCCCTTATGAATGAACCAGAATCTCTGTTCGTCCGGGAAAAAATCCGACGAGCTACGAAGCTCTTTTCCACCGATGTCCAGCAGGCGGGGGGGGGGGGGGGGTGGCGTGATGATGTCCGTGATGATGCCCGTGGTGTCCGTCCGGTAACCCTTGCCCCCACGGCCACGTGAACCTTGCAGACCGGTGCCACGACCAGGGCCAGTCGTATCGTCTCGGCGAGCGCTGGAAACGGCCGCACAGCACGGACGGTCAGATGCTCGAGTGCGTCTGCCTGGGCAACGGAAAGGGAGAATGGACGTGCAACCCAGTGGGTGAGCCGTCGTCCACCCCAACCCCCCCCCCCCCCCCGTTGTCGCCCGACCATCCAACTTCCCCCGCCGTCCTCTCTGCCGTCTCGCCGTGGCGCCGGGTTTGGTGGCAGTGGTGGCACCGCGGTGGTAACGCTCGCCGGTCTCACAGCAACGAGGAGGAGCCCCGTGGTGGGGGGGGGGGGTTCGATATCCCCGACTCGGCCGCCTTTCTACGTGGAGTTTGTATGGTCACCCCCCCCCCCCCCCACGCCCCCCCCCCCCGCATCTCCTGTTCTGCATGGGTTTGCTCCGGGTTTTCCGGTTTTCTTCCGTAGATATTAAACCAACGGGGCAAGTGGTTCTTCATTTTCAAGGCCCGCGGGGGCCACTGGCGGGCCCCTGGTTGGCCTTTAGTGCGGCCTCTGACGTGCGGGCCCCCTCCGACAACACACAAACAGTGACAACACCCCACCCCATCGTCATCGTCGTCGTCATCGTGCTGCTGTCAAACCACAAACAATGGTTTCAAACGGTGTGGCGGCCCTCCTTTCAAAATTTTCATAACCCACATATACAACACTCCCCCGCCCCACTCTGAAAATGAGTGACGAACACCGCGACACACGATGTAACCGGTATTGGCCTAGCGTCCCGATGACTGAGACATTTACCTTCTGTCGCACCTGTACGTAGACAAACGTGCGAATCCGATTTACTCATTTGGGACGATAACGACATCAACTGTGAAAACTTGGCAGTACCCTCCTGAAAACGAGTCTTGAGACTCGGTGAGGATGATCGCGCACTGGGCGAGGAATTCCTCACCCGAGTGTGCGATCATCCGCGCATTTTTACTTTCTCTCTCCATAGTTTAGTGCGGAAACGGCTTCAATTTTCCCGATTATAAATATATTTGCCTGATAAGAGGTGCTGAGCGGGGCTCAGAACCCGCTCAGCTTTCGAGGTCTGTCGAGATCGGTCGTCTGATCCGCAGGCACGCCCGGTCGAGTTTGAACGATGAAACGGCATTTTCTTTAAAAAAAAAAATGTTTTACCGCTGGACGAAAAAGGTGACGCAAAACAGCTTTGAAACAGAACGGGGCCTACGAGTCGGCAGCGGTGCAATAATGTTTGGTGGAACGTGCAAAACGACACGCGCGGAGACTTGACTGATGCCGACGAGTCTGTTGTTTACAAGTGGTTGTTTACGCCCGTGAAACACGCTGAAAATTGACGGGGCTAGTCAACCCGACGCATAACGAACAACAGATGCAAAAACGTGGCCCCCTTCTTTTATTATTTATGTTTGTATCATTTTACATTTTTTTTAGACACACAAAATAACCACAAAACTGAAATGCTTTCTGGCAAGCGAGTTCAAACCGGATTATTAATTTCGAATTTGCAACTGATGGGAAAATACAGGGGGTTTTTTTCGTTTTTTTTTGCAACAAGACCGACTAAATGAAGTTGACTCTGAGTGCTCATTGCATACGGTTATAGAAACATTTAAAAATACGAAAAAACACAGTCTTTTAACGATGGGTACCTTAGGGGTGGTTGCCCGTGAGACACCCGGGGTGGTTGTGCCCCCCTCACGGTGCTGTAGTTGGCACTGACATTAACACAGGATACTTTGTTCCGTCATTATTTTTTGGGGGGGGGTTTGTTATTTGTATTTGGCACGGACAGAATGGTGGCCAGCGATGGTCGCGAGGTGATCCGCACGCTCTCTTGATTCTCGCACGGTCAAAGGGTTTTTATTTTTTTATTTTGTCTGCACGTTACCGGACAAATGTTTGAGGGGTTGCTTTCGCCAACCGTGCAAAGCGGAGGTGCGGGTGTGTGCGCGTGGTGTGTGTACATGGTGTGTGTGTGTACATGGTGTGTGTACATGGTGTGTGTGTACATGGTGTGTGTGTGTACATGGTGTGTGTGTACATGTTGTGTGTGTACATGGTGTGTGTGTACATGGTGTGTGTGTACATGGTGTGTGTACATGGTGTGTGTGTACATGGTGTGTGTGCATGGTGTGTGTGTATATGGTGTGTGTGCACATGGTGTGTGTGTACATGGTGTGTGTGTACATGGTGTGTGTGTACATGGTGTGTGTGTACATGCGTGTGCGTACATGGTGTGTGTGTACATGGTGTGTATGTGTGTACATGGTGTGTGTACATGGTGTGTGTGTGTACATGGTGTGTGTGTACATGGTGTGTGTGTACATGGTATGTGTGTACATGGTGTGTGTGTACATGGTGTGTGTGTACATGGTGTGTGTGTGTGTACATGGTGTGTGTGTGTACATGGTGTATGTGTGTGTACATGTTGTGTGTGTACATGTTGTGTGTGTACATGGTGTGTGTGTACATGGTGTGTGTACATGTTGTGTGTGTACATGGTGTGTGTGTACATGGTGTGTGTACATGGTGTGTGTGTACATGGTGTGTGTGTGTGTACATGGTGTGTGTGTGTGCTCGTGCAGCCGGGGCGGCTGAGCGCTGCTACGACTCCGTCCTGGGCTCCTCGTTCGCTGTGGGCGAGGATTGGGAGCGGCCCTACCACACCTGGATGATCGTCGACTGCACCTGCTTGGGAGGTGGCCTCGGCCAAGTGTCCTGCTCCTCCAAAAGTGCGTTCCGGCCCCACCAACCACCCCGCTCCCCGCCAACTCCCCCCCCCACTCTCTCTCTCGTTCTTGGCGGTCTCTCCGCACCATCGTGTTCTGTTTTACCGCGGGCAGACAGCCAAGGGACTCTGCGCTAGCAGCAGCTGCTGTGCGTGTCGTGGGGTTGCGTAAAGATTCGATCTCCCGGCTTGGTAATCCTCTCCCTGCCCCCCCCCCCCCCCCACCAAGATCAGCACCACGATCTTCACCACCACCACCACCGCCACCGTCACGAGCAGCACCACCATCACCACCACCACGATCACTACCAAAATCACTAACGATCACCACCACGATCACAACCATCACCAACCACGATCATCACCACCATCATCATCATCACCACCATCATCATCATCACCACCACCAAGATCACCATCACCATCATCGTCACCACGATCATCACCACCATCATCACCACCATAATTACCACCACCACGGTCACCACCGCCACCATCATCACCACCACCACCATCACCACCACCATCATCACACGAGCAACAGCAGCTGATCTCACCTTGCGACGGCTTCGACAGACAGCGGGCTGGGGGATGGGGGGGGGGGGGGTAGCCGACATCGGCGCCACGCCGAGTGGGTACAGCTGTCGCTCACCGCTCATCTTCTTCGTCGTCGCCCGTGGGGTTGAGGGGTCTTCGTTTGGCCTCCGTGATTTGGACGACCCCAGGTCACGGCCCGCGATCGCGGGGCTCCAGACGGTTTGGGCCCCCTTTAGTCGTTGATTTTGTGTCAACACAAAATCGAGCGGATAACTTGAAACACGTGTGCGTGCGCGTGCGTACGGGGAGCGGTGGCGCAACGGTTAGGCGCTCCGCGCTAGGATCCCGGCGAGCCGACTTCACGACGCCGGTGACGATTACCTGAACCGGTCCCCTGTGCCGACTCCAGTGGGTAGCTGGCGTGGTGTGCAAACATCGCCACTGGGGGAGACAAAGGCGGCCGGGCGTGGTGGTGCTGGCCACCCACCCCTTCGTGTGCCACAGTGCCGGCCTTCATAGGTGCTACTCGCTAACAGCACTTGCCCCGACACTCTATTAAGACTACACGGGGTGGGGGGGTGGGGGACTTTGTCTTTGTGGCGCGTTAGATCGCTGCAACGACCAGGACAGCCAGAGCTCGTACCGCGTCGGGGAGACGTGGACCAAGACGGACGCGGCGGGCGACCTGCTCCACTGCGTGTGCACGGGCAACGGGCGCGGGGAGTGGAAGTGCGAGGTGCACAGCACGGCAGTGGCCGCCGTGCACACCGGTGAGACTCACGCAACCATGTAGCACGCACCACCGGTGAGACTCACGCACCACCGGTGAGACTCACGCACCACCGGTGAGACTCACGCAACCATGTAGCACGCACCACCGGTGAGACTCACGCACCACCGGTGAGACTCACGCAACCATGTAGCACGCACCACCGGTGAGACTCACGCACCACGCACCGGTGAGACTCACGCACCACGCGGCACGCTCCGGTGAGCCTCACGCAACCACGCGGCACGCACCACCGGTGAGACTTTACCCCTTGCGCGTCTCCGCGCGTGCACAGGCGAGTTCGCCGGGGTGGAGGAGGCGCAGTTCCGCCCGTCGGCGCAGTGCGAGCTGGACAACGGAGCCACCTACGCCACGGGGCAGCAGTGGCTCAAGATGCAGGGGACCGACCGCATGCTCTGCACCTGCCTGGGCAACGGCGTCAGCTGCCAGACGTCCGGTCAGTCCCACCCCCTGCACACGCACGCACGGGGTCACCGTGACCCCACCGCGTCGGTGTTGGACGATCCTCGTGTAGTGACATAGAGTCGGTCGTGCAGCGGCATAGCGCTGGGCCGCTGGCGGGGAAGGGGAATCTGCGGCTTACGGCAGCCCTGACTGCAGCAGGCCACGTGATAGACCAGAGGGGGATCTTGGGGAAAGGTCACAGAAAGGGGCACACCGAGAACCCGCTGGTAGGTTCTAGAAAGGGGGCGTGGCCGGGGGCGGACCCAGGCCACGCTGACAGTAGATGTAATCAAATGCATTATGATTATTTCGAATTGTTCGGCTGAATTGTCCACGTGATTGGGCCACTTCTATGAGCGGTCATTTGCGGCCAGGTCGCTGCTGGAAATGCAAATAGCTCAGCGGGGCCTTACCTGGTTGTGAAAAAAAAAATTCAAGTGATTTGTTTACCTGTTGTGATTTCGTATTGTTTGTTGGTGTCACGTTCTGACCCTGTGTCCCCCTTGACTGGACATCTATGGGAAAAGAGCTTTACAGCTCGTCGGATTCCTTCGGCACAAGCAAAGATTCTCATTCGTTGTGTCATTCTCGTCGGGCAGTCGCGCGATCGATACGATGGTGCGTGAGCGCAACTCGCAATGTGCGTCGGGTGGTGGAGGGTCTTACGACATGAATGTCTATACGGGCAACCTTTGTCTGGTGTGTGTGTGTGTGTGGTGTGCCGGGGAGCGGTGGTGTGGCGGTCAGCGCGCTGCGCTACGAAACCCGACTCCCCGTCACGGCAAAAACACCCAGTGACGATTATTTGAACCGATTCTGGGCCTCCCCTAGGTCGACTCAGCCTCAAATGAGTACCTGGCGCGGTGTGTAGTAAGCGTCGCCACTGGGGAGACAAAGGCGGTCGGGCGTGGTGCCGGCCACCCACCCAGCCACCCCTCCGCGCGCGTTCCGTGCCGGCCGTCACGGGCGCAGCTCGCTAACGGCACTTGCCCCCCCAACAGAAATGTTAACAGGCTATGTACGGTGGGGCGTGGGGAATCTGTCGCGTTTGCGTGCTGCGTGAAGGTGTGATGACGTACGGGGGCAACGCGCCGGGGGAGCCGTGCGTCTTCCCCTTCATGTACACGGGGCTCTCCTACACGGCGTGCGTGGGAGAGGGACGTAGCGACGGCAAGCTGTGGTGCAGTACCACGGGGAACTACGACCAGGACCGCAAGTACACCTTCTGCCGCTCCGAGTCCGGTACGCCGCCAGCACACGGTGACGAGATGTGCACTACCTCGCCTGGTTACGCAAGGAGGTCGTGGGTTCGATCCCGACCCCTGACGCCTGCTGTGTATTCGGAGTTTGCGTGTCTCTCTCTCTCTCTCTGTCTCTCATCATCATCATCACGGTGGCGAGATGTTCACTACCTCGCCTGGTTACGCAGGGAGGTCGTGGGTTCGATCCCGACCCCTGACGCCTGCTGTGCATTCGGAGTTTGCGTGTCTCTCTCTCTCTCTGTCTCTCATCATCATCATCACGGTGGCGAGATGTTCACTACCTCGCCTGGTTACGCAGGAGGTCGTGAGTTCGATCCCGACCCCTGACGCCTGCTGTGTATTCGGAGTTTGCGTGTCTATCTCTCTCTCTCTCTCTGTCTCTCTCCCCCAGTGGTCGCGTGGATTTTTCCCTGGTTCCTCCGGTTTTTCATTCCACGTTCGAAATCGACCACCACGCGTTTAGGGTATTTGGCCGCGATACATTTCCACACACGGTGCACACACTGCACAGTGTTGCCCCACGTCCAACCGCACAGCCACATACCGAATGAATCCAAACCGCATCGTGGGGCGGATTTTTGGTACAAGTAGCGTTATCGCCGCACGTGCAGTGCGGAATCGCATGAACCGAGCTCGCATCGAGCGCGGGAAACCTGTCTACGGCTGTCACGAGCGGGTTATAATCGCGAACAGTTTGTGACACACAGGTGTCAATTCATCACGGTTTAAACCCCGTATTATTGCACAGGGAAATTGAGTTTTTCAGGTCCATACGGCGTACAGCCGTTTCAACACGTGCAAAACAGATAATGATTTGTCTATTTGTTTGTGTTTCTCCCTTGTGATGGAAATTTGTAGGATGAACGTTGAGATTCGTAAGGGCCACCACGTGACAATTAAATGTCTGAATTTGACCGGACGTAAGCGTCCGTGAAATATGGTGGCGGCTGCAGCGGCTTTGGGAGGCCTTCATCCAGCAGTGGATCGACAATGCCCGCCGACTGTGACGGTGACGATGGTGGTGGTAGCTTTGAGGGGTGTGGGGGATTCAATTTGTTGTACGGTCATTTGTCGCCGGCCTGAAATGTTCAATTGGGTTCCACCTGAGAAGGCCGTTTCATCCGCGGGCGGCTGCCCGCATTCGAAGGCCAGGACCTCAGCCGTGCCAGCTCAGCTCTCCGACCCCTCCGTGACCCGGCACCCCCACACGCTGCCGCTCCCGTGTTTATTGGTCCCATGCGGTCCTTCCGTTGCCAGTCGCAAGCACGAGAGATGCGTGTGCCAGCCAGCAAAGCTTTGCTGTTGTAGGCCGTCCAAGGTTCATTCCAAAGGATTTGCGCGGCACCTCAACTGTAACAACTTGGGGCCTTGTTCTTAGGTGAACTATTTTGAATACTTTTTTTTCAGAAACGGGACCTGCCTATCACAACTGATTGCTCAACGAGGCAGGCGCATTATCATCGTGTGGAAATTTACAGCAGGCAAATAAACTCTGAACGCGCGATGTTGATTCGAAAAATGGAGGGGAGAAAAGCCGGAGGAGCCCGAGAAAAATCCACGCGACCACGGGGGGAGAGAGACACGCAAACTCCAAATATACAGCAGCAGCCATCGTCAGGGTTGGGATCGAACCCACGACCTCCTGTATGCCAGGCAAGGTAGTTGACTTCTCCTAGCCACGGTGATGATGATGATGAGAGACAGACACGCAAATTCTAAATATACAGCAGCAGCCATCGTCAGGGTTGGGATCGAACCCACGACCTCCTGCATACCAGGCGAGGTAGTTAACATCTCCTAGCCACCGTAATGATGATGATGAGAGAGAGACACGCAACACTCCAAATATACAGCAGCAGGCGTCGTCAGGGTCGGGATCGAACCCACGACCTCCTGTATACCAGGCGAGGTAGTCAACATCTCACCACGGAGAGAGAGACACGCAAACTCCAAGTATACAGCAGGTGTCGTCAGGGTCGGGTTCGAACCCACGACCTCCTGTACACCACCGTGGCGCCCTACGTGAGATAAAGGAGCAGCCCTGTAGTCGCTTGCTCGCGCCACTGTTGGCTGAAAGCCCCCCCCCCTCCCCCCTCCACTGTAGGGAGCTCTCGGGGGCTGCCCTCCCTCTCGGGGGCAATTGCCCTGCTCGTCGACATGGGGCAAGGCCTGTTGGGAGATCGTGGGGAGTACCCACACTTGATCCCACCACACGCAACCTGCCGATCGGGCGACTGTGGTGGGGACCCCGTTTGTGCTGCTGGGTGCAGAGAAAGGGGGGGGGGGTGGGGGAGATTTAAGGAATTTGTCTTACATTTGGGTGTTTTGTGCTCGTAAGGCACGAGATTTGGGTAACTTCGTCCGGCCTTTGCTCAGCAAACCGCGAGTGACAGAGAGAGAGAGAAAGAGAGAAAAAAATCTGCGCCGTGTTGGTTTTTTTTTTGCAAGCGCGGCGTTCCCTCGGCAGCCCGGCGGTCCGCCTGAAATGCCTGGAATGTTCGGTCGGCCCGACGACCCACAATGCTTTAATTGTGAGCTACGAGCTGTTCACGCGTTCCTGGAGACCGGCCTTGTACCCCCCCCTACCGCCTGCTCCCCCCCAGTGGGGCCAGGCCTGAGACGTTCATGGCGACGGTGCCAATCCCCGGCAGCGGCGGTTACGACCCAAGGTGGCGGCAGGAGGCCGCGCGGGTCGGTTTACCGCCACCGCCACCACCACCACCACCGACCCCAAGTGACCCCATTCCTTAGCGGTGGGCAGGCGGGTGACTCTGGATGAGCGTTGGGATGGTGCTGTGTTGGGTTTCGGAGCAGCACGCGGTTCTTTAAGGCGACCCACTTCGTGACCCTTATTTTATTCACCACACGCACTGCCGCTCTTTAAATATGGAGGTTTTTTTTTAACCTCTCCCCCACCCCCCCCCCCCCCCCCCCCCCCCCGATTCCAAAGAAAACTAACAAGAAATGTCTCTTCTTGTCATTTTGTTGATTTTTTTGTGTCGCCGAGTTCCGGGTTTAAACGGCTCCTCTCTTTCCTGTCAAGACTGCCGGAGCCTTCGGTAAACGGACCAAGTGAAGCCTTAGTCAGCCGGACGGAGTCCTCCTTCCAGCCCATCGCAAAGCATTTGAGTCCTTAAATTTCGATTGAAAGCTTTCGTGACTGCAGGGATTCATCTTCTTGGTTCCTTCGGTAAAGTCACCACGTAGAAGGGAAACAATAAAATAATAAAAATAAAACATTTGAGTCTTGACCAAAAAAAAATCATCATCGCGTGGCTTCCTGTGCACGTGACTCGGTTGTGACAACCGAGTCAAATCAAATCGGTCGTGGGGTCTCCTCTAGGTTGACTCAGCCTAAAAATATACCTTGAGAGAGAGAGAGAGAGAAAAACAAACGCTCAACGCGCGGTCCTTGACCCAGAAAGCCCCGACACTTGGTGATGCGAAATCCCTTTGGCGGCAATTTTGTAAAAATACATAAATTCAATCATTAATCAAGCATCCTACGTGTATTAAAATAATTACTTTAATTACATTCAGGTGGTCAAGCCCAGATAGCCGCTGTCAAGAAGCCAGCGGAGCCAGTGTCGGACTAAGCTAAGTGTGGGGCCTGTAGCATATGATGTTATAAAGGGGCCCTAAATAAAAAAAAATATTAAAACACAAATGTTTTACTTGCATAGTAAAGTAATTGTATTTTTTTTAATATGCTATACAGCCAGATTGCACGACAAATCGCAAACCTTAAACACCTAGTCGTTCATAAAAGTTGAAGGCGGTATAGTACTATAGTACTAGAGCGAGTGCAGAATCACTGAACCGGAATTGATAGCTTGAAAGCGTTTAGCGCGGGGCCCTTGAAAGTGCGGGGCCCGCGGCATATGTAGCTACTTGTGCTACTTGCATAATCTGGCACTGAGTGGAGCGCATCGCCGCAATGTCTCCTTCGTATTTGTGGGTCGGGGCTTTGCGCGGTTGTACGGTCCGTTCTGGATGACCACGGTCGCACCACGACTGGAGACTTTCTTTCCTTTATCCGTTCAGAAACGCGCCATCCGCCGTGGTCCTGTTGCAGCGGATGCTGGCGGATCTTAGGTGCCGGAACGCGGGAGCTTCGCGGTGCTCCTCCTGCGTCTTTATCCTTTAAAAAAAAAATAATTGTAATTTCTTCATATTTTTTTTTTTTAAATCCCCGCTCGTCACCCGACAGCTGTGATCCAGACGCGCGGCGGCAACTCGCACGGAGCTCTCTGCCACTTCCCCTTCCAATACAACCAGCGGAGCTACACGGAGTGCACCGCAGAGGGGCGGCCGGACGCCATGAAGTGGTGCAGCACTACGGAGCATTATGACGAGGATCGCAAGTTCGGCTTCTGCCCCATGGAGGGTGCGTTGCCCTCTCCCCCCGGGACCCGCTCCCACCCCCCCCCCCTCGCCCTCCCCACCCGATTACCCCCCTAAGCGCCGGACGTAGCGTGAGCCAGTGCCGGGTTAAGCGAAGTGCGAGGGCCTGTAGCATGTGATGATGTTATAAAGGGGCCCCTGAATAAGTAAATAAATAAAAAACCACACATACATACATACATATTAAAACACAAATGTTTTACTCGCATAGTAACGTAATTGTATTTTTTCATTTGCTACACGGCCCAGATAATACGACAAATCGCTAAACCTTAAACACCCGGTCGTTCATAAAAGTCGAAGGCGGTATAGTACGGTAGCAATAGAACGAGTGCAGAATCACTGAACCGGGAATTGGTAGCTTGAAAGCGTTTAGCGCAGGGCCCTTGAAAGTGCGGGGCCCGTAGCATTTGTCGCTACTTTTGCTACGAGCATAATCCGGCACTGGTCGTGAAATCTCTGGTGCCGTAAGCCGGCATCAAAGGGGCGCCGCGGTGTCTATGAGATGTTGACCACCTCGCCTGGTATGCAGGAGGTCGTGGGTTCGATCCCGACTCTGACGCCTGTTGTTTACTTGGGAGTTTGCGCGTCTCTCTCACTGTGGTCATTGCCAATTTGAGTACGAATTTGGTTCGGGAAAGCCGACGTGTTAAACCAAGCCTGTGTGTACGTATGTTGAACTTCTTTCGCACCGCACTTAACCAACCGTGCTAATCGGAGGTGCGGTGTATGTACGCGTTTTGAACTTATTTCGCACCGGTGTGTAAACATCGCCACGACGGAGACGAAGGCTGCCTTCGTCCGTAGCTGCCCGTCACTTGACAGCACTTGCCTCAACAGTCTCTTGAGGCTATCCGGGGGATCTTTGTCTTTGTGCAGCCCACGAGGAGGTGTGCTCGTCACAGGGCGTGCAGTACCGTGTCGGCGACCAGTGGGACAAGCGCCATCAGATGGGGCACATGATGCGGTGCACCTGCAACGGGAACGGCCGCGGGGAATGGAACTGCATTCCCTACGCCCAGCTGCTGGGTAAGGCTGATAACCCCCTTTCGTGTGTTATTTTTTTTCCACTGGCATATTCGAGCCGAGCCGAGCCAGGTTCAGGGCCCATCATCATGGTACGGACGTTTTTTTTTTTCTTACCACCACCGACTATTTTGGCGAGCCCAGCCGGAACTAAAACGTGACACGCTGGTCTCACAAGAACAATGATCTTAATAATGCTTTTCAATTATTATTTATGGGGCGTCACTGCGGCTATGAGATGTTAACTACCTCGCCTAGTATACAGGAGGTCGTGGGATCGATCCCGATCCCGACCTTGAAGAAGCCTGTATATTTTAGAGTTTGCTTGTCTCTTTCTCCCTGTGGCCGCGTGGATTTTCCTCCGGGTCCTCCGATTTTTCCCTCCCCTTTTAGAATCAACGTGCTTTTAGAGTATTTGGCCGCTATCAATTTCCACGTGATGATGAGCCACTTCGTTGAGCGATCATTTTGTGTGGCAAGGTCGCTTCTGAAAAGGAGCTACGTAGCTCAGTGGCCCTTACGTGGTAAAATAAAATAAACCGTTTATAGCATCGACCTAATGGACTCATTGCACTGTTCTGATAACCACCTCCACCTACTACTACTACCCCCATAAACCCGCTCCACTTCTTTATTCGTCGCCACGCCTGTCCGAGGAAATGCATCCACACCTGTCAACCCCTTGTCAGTGCCCTACCTTATTACAGACCAATTCGGACCTTATTGGTCACCCCGTGCCCCCTTATAAATCTCAACGTTCATCCTACAAAGTCCCATCGCAAGGGAGAAACACAAACGAATGGACGACAAAAAAATAGTTTTGCCCGTACTGAAACGGCTGTTACGCCGTATGGACCTGAAAACCCGATTTCCCGGTACAAGAACACGGCTTTGACAGGCGTGCGCATCGCGGCTGCTAACTCGCCGACAGCGCTCGCCTCGGCAACTCCGTTGAGGCCTAAACCCGAACGGGGGGGGGGGGCGGGGGCGATCTCTGCCGTGCAACAGATCGCTGCGTGGTGGACGAGACGGAGTACAACGTGAACCAGACGTTCTCGCGCAAGCACGCCGAGGGACACATGATGAACTGCACCTGCTTCGGCCAGGGCCGGGGCCGCTGGGCCTGTGACCCCGTCGGTAAGATCGCCGCCCACTCCCCCCAGCCCCGCGCCACGTCGGAAGGTCGGCGGGGCCAGATGCGTGCACCTCCTTCGCCAGCTCGTTCAGAGCGCTTGGCTGCCGCTTTGAATGTCCACGTGATGACGATGACGACGGTGATAAGCCGTCACTTCGTTGAGCTGCTGCCAGGGTGGCTTCTGAAAAAGGAGCTACGTAGCAGGTCAGTGGAGTCTTACACATGGTAAAATAAAAAAATAGTTTATATTCTCTGGGTCTTCCGGTCAAGTCACGTGGATAGGTTCAAGTAAAATAACAACAAAAAACTACGACGTTTCGATCGTAACTCAAGCGGTCGTCATCGGGAAAAGGGGGTTAGCCTCGAAAGGAAAACTGTTTTATAAAGGTTTTTAAACCCTTTTTTTAACCTTTATAAACAGTTTTCCTTTCTAGGCTAACCCCCTTTGCCTGATGACGACCGCTTGTGTTGCGATCGAAACGTCGTCGTTTTTTGTTATTTTCCTTGAACTTATCGACGTGACTTTACCGAAAGACCCGAAGAATATGAATTCCTGCAGTCGCGAAAGCTTTAAGCAAAGAAATAGCTTGTAGTTTTCAAGAAATGTTAGCTCCCTCGCCTGGTACACAGGAGGTCATGGGTTCAATCCCGACCCTGACGCCTGCTGCATATTTGGAGTTTGCGTGTCTCTCTTCCCCCGTTGGTCGCGTTGGTTTTTTCTCCCGGGTCCTGCGGCTTCTTCCTCTCCACGTCTAGAATCAACGTCAACGCGATCAGTGTATTCGGCTGCTTTAAAAAAAAAAATATTGCACACGACGATGATACGCCGCCACTTCGTTGAGCCATCATTCGTGACGGGGCAGGGTCACTTCTGAAAAAGAGCCACGCGGCTGCTCATTGGGACCTTGCACCTGGTGAAACAGTCACGGTTATTAAGGGCAACAAAGTCCACAGCGGCGCGAAATCGTGGCGCATGCAAGCCAAAAATAACGGAACCCCGTTGCAACCCACTACAGGCTCCTTTCATGGAGGGTTAAGCGAGAAACGGGAAAGGGTTACGTTGTTCAGCCGTAGTTCGCTCGACGCAACATTGACGAACGTCCTCCGAAGGGACTGCAATCCAAAATGCGTACCAAGCACGTGGTGTCGCGTGTGCACGTGCGTTGGACTTATTTCGCTCCCCGCGCGTAGCCAACCCCTGCTCATGAGAGTTGCCCGGGGAAAGAACAACAACAAACTAACACGCAAGAGGCCAAACCCATGCTCCGGCCCCCACAAGGAGAAGGGAGTACAGAACAAACATGTGGACCCCCCCCCCCAACCCCCCAAAGGCATTTCGTCTCTATGGGATCGAGCGTTTCCCCCTCGCACGTGCGTGGGTTATTCACCCCCCACCCACCCACCCCGCCCCGGTTTCTACCCACGTGTAAACACTCATCGCTTAGCCGATGACGATCGCGTTTCTCTCCCGGTGGTCGTGCAGACCAGTGCCAGGACCTGGAGCTGATGCAGTTTTACCAGATCGGAGAGACGTGGAACAAGCTGTACAAGGGCACGGCGTACATCTGCGGCTGCTACGGCAACTCCGTGGGCGAGTGGAACTGCCGCCCCCAAACCACGGAGATCGGTACAGATCATGTTTTCTTTTCGGTTTTTACTCCCAGAGTCTGTACACCCGCGTTCATCAATAATTTAGCTACCCATATCAGTACGCCTGTGTTGATCAATACATTTAGCTGCCTAGATCAGTTGTATAACTGTGTTGATCAATACATTCAACTGTCCAGATCAGTATACCTGTGTTGATCAATATATTTAGCTGTCCAGATCAGTTGTATACATACGTTGGTCAATAAATTTAGCTGCCCAGATCGGTTGTATAACTGTGTTGATCAATACATTGATTTACTGCGATAAGTAACGAATGCGTTGAATGAGTCACAACTCCCTGCGCCGGCCTTCATAGGCGCGACTCTCTAACGGCACTTGCCCCAACAGTCTGTTGAGGCTACGCTCGGTGATCTCTGTCTTTGCAGCCTCCAATAACCCCGTGCAGGTCACCATCAAAGAGGACAACAAGCACCGGCATTCCCAGCAGCTGCAGTGGACCAACACGCAAGGACGCCCCGTCAACTGGTACTTCCTCAAGTGGCGCCCGGTGAGTGCGGTGGTGGCGGAGGTGCACGGGGGAGATGCTCCCCCCCCCCCCTCCACTTGGGAGGCATCTGCATCCCTCATCTCACACCTCTCTCCTCCACGCACTCTCCTTTCTCTCCCTTCTCATCTCACTCCACTCCCCTCCACGCTCTCTCCTGCCTCTCCCCTCTCATATCACTCCACTCCCCTCCACGCACTCTCCTACCTCTCCCCTCTCATCTCACTCCACTCCCCTCCACGCACTCACCTACCTCTCCCCTCTCATCTCACTCCACTCCCCTCCACGCTCTCTCCTGCCTCTCCCTCTCATCTCACTCCACTCTCCTCCACGCTCTCTCCCGCCTCTCCCCTCTCATCTCACTCCACTCCCCTCCACGCACTCTCCTACCTCTCCCCTCTCATCTCACTCCACTCCCCTCCACTCACTCTCCTACCCCTCCCCTCCCATCTCACTCCACTCCCCTCCACGCACTCCCCTACCTCTCCACTCCCACCTCACTCTACTCCCCATCTCATTCTACAGTCAAGTCAACATTTGTTCCGGCGCAGTATTTAACACCGATATCTTAGCACCGATATTTGACTCCCGCTTCAAAAACGCCGGGCCGCGACGACGCCCGAGGACTTTCCATCGGCCGCACCTCCGATGAGTGCGGCGGCTGTGAAGCTCAACACCCGTACGTAGCTCACACAACGTGCTGTCGCGCTACGTCGCGTGCCCTCACCCGGGGGAAAAAAAAAACCAGAAGGGCTCTCAGGCCCCGTGGAAGGAGGCCCGGGTGCCGGCCCAGCGCAACGCCTACGTGATCACGGGCCTGCGGCCGGGCCTGGTGTACGAGGGCCAGCTCATCACGCAGTACTCCCACGGCGCCACCGCCATCAGCAAGTTCGAGTTCAGCACCGCCTCCGTCCCCCGTGAGTGTTTCGGCAGCGGCGGCGGCGGCGGCGGCGAGTCTGTGGGTCCCTGTGTGAGTCTGTGGGTCCCTGTGTGAGTTTGTGCGTCTCTGTGTGTATCTGTGGGTCTCTGTGTGAGTCTGTGGGTCCCTGTGTGAGTCTGTGGGTCTCTGTGTGAGTCTGTGGGTCTCTGTGTGAGTCTGTGGGTCTCTGTGTGAGTCTGTGGGTCCCTGTGTGAGTTTGTGCGTCTTTGTGTGTATCTGGGTCTCTGTGTGAGTCTGTGGGTCCCTGTGTGAGTCTGTGGGTCTCTGTGTGAGTCTGTGGGTCTCTGTGTGAGTCTGTGGGTCTCTGTGTGAGTCTGTGGGTCTCTGTGTGAGTCTGTGGGTCCCTGTGTGAGTCTGTGGGTCTCTGTGTGAGTCTGTGGGTCTCTGTGTGAGTCTGTGGGTCTCTGTGTGAGTCTGTGGGTCTCTGTGTGAGTCTGTAGGTCTCTGTGTGAGTCTGTGAGTCTCTGTGTGAGTCTGTGGGTCTCTGTGTGAGTCTGTGGGTCTCTGTGTGAGTCTGTGGGTCTCTGTGTGAGTCTGTGGGTCTCTGTGTGAGTCTGTGGGTCCCTGTGTGAGTCTGTGGGTCTCTGTGTGAGTATGTGGGTCTCTGTGTGAGTTTGTGGGTCTCTGTGTGAGTGTGTAGGTTGCTGTGTGAGTCTGTGGGTCTCTGTGTGAGACTGTGGGTCTCTGTGTGAGGCTGTGGGTCTCTGTGTGAGTATGTGGGTTTCTGTGTGAGTCTGTGGGTCCCTGAGTGAGTCTGTGGGTCCCTGTGTGAGTTTGTGCGTCTCTGTGTGAGTCTGTGGGTCTCTGTGTGAGTCTGTGGGTCTCTGTGTGAGTCTGTGGGTCTCTGTGTGAGTCTGTGGGTCTCTGTGTGAGTCTGTGGGTCTCTGTGTGAGTCTGTGGGTCCCTGTGTGAGTCTGTGGGTCCCTGTGTGAGTTTGTGCGTCTCTGTGTGTGAGTATCTGGGTCTCTGTGTGAGTCTGTGGGTCTCTGTGTGAGTCTGTAGGTCTCTGTGTGAGTCTGTGAGTCTCTGTGTGAGTCTGTGGGTCTCTGTGTGAGTCTGTGGGTCTCTGTGTGAGTCTGTGGGTCTCTGTGTGTGAGTCTATGGGTCCCTGTGTGAGTCTGTGGGTCTCTGTGTGAGTCTGTGGGTCCCTGTGTGAGTCTGTGGGTCCCTGTGTGAGTTTGTGCGTCTCTGTGTGTGAGTATCTGGGTCTCTGTGTGAGTCTGTGGGTCTCTGTGTGAGTCTGTGCATCCCTGTCTGAGTCTGTGCGTCGCTGTGTGAGTCTGTGGGTCTCTGTGTGAGTCTGTGGGTCTCTGTGTGAGTCTGTGGGTCTCTGTGTGAGTCTGTGGGTCTCTGTGTGAGTCTATCAGTCTCTGAGAGAGGCAATGGATCTCTGTGTGAATCAGTGGATCTCTGTGTGAATCAGTGGAACTCAGTGTGTGTCAGTGGAACTCAGTGTGAGTCTATGGGTCTCTGTGATAGTTAATGGATCTCTGTGAGAGTCTATCTCTCTGCCGAGACTATAACCTATTTATTCCGCCTCCGTTGCGTGCGCAACTATCTCCTTCTTAAAACAGTTCAATAAACACACTTGCGGCAAACTGTTGCCGGTGACGATTGCTCGGCCGCGGTTTTGCCGCGAAGTCGCCTCCCCGGCGGCATCGTGAGGCGCGACCGTAGCCCAGCGGCGGTGGTGACTGCGCGTGCCTCTTACCGTGTCGTTTTCGCGTCGTCCGCGTTCGCCAAGTGACGCCGTGGGAGGGCGAGAGGGAGCGGCTGCCCGGCACGGAGCAGCGCGTGTCGGACGCCGTCACCGAGGTGACGTCCAACAGCTTCGTGGTCGCCTGGGCCTCGGCCGGCGAGGTCATGTCCGGGTACCGGATCGAGTACGAGCTCACGGAGGACAGCTCCTCGCGCGAGATCATCAGTAAGTCGCGAGTGCGAGCGAGCGGGTGCGGGGGGGGATGCCCCCGGCGGGCCGTTTTGCGTTTTCCCTCGCCGCGCGCGGAGATCCGCCGAGCCAATACATGTATTTTTGTTACAACGCGCGAGCCCGCGCTATGGAACTCTTTCGATATTAGGAAGCCACTGGAGCTATGCACTTTTAAATCTAGATTGAAAACGAATTTATTTTTAGAAGCGCTTTTTGCGCGTTTAGTTTGTTGTCCTTACCCCCGCACCCCCGAATAACACGGTTGGCTACGTACGGTGCGAAAGAAGTTCAGCAAACATACATAGACTCACACAGAGACACACAGACTCACACAGAGACCCATAGACTCACACAAAGACCCACAGACTCACACAGAGACCCATGGACTCACACAGAGACCCACAGACTCACACAGAGACTCATAGACTCACACAGAGACCCATAGACTCACACAGAGACCCACAGACTCACACAGAGACCCATAGAATCACACAGAGACCCATAGACTCACACAGAGACCCATAGACTTACACAGAGACCCATGGACTCACACAGAGACCCATAGACTTACACAGAGACCCATAGACTCATACAGAGACCCAAAGACTCACACAGAGACTCACAGACTCACACAGAGACCCATAGATTCACACATAGACCCATAGACTCACACAGAGACCCATAGACTCACACAGAGACCCATAGTTTGTTGTCCTTCCTCTGCTCCTCTGATTTAGCACGGTTGGCTACGTATGGTGCGAAATAAGTTCAACAAACATACCAACATACGTACGAGTATGGGTCCCTACGAGCCTCTGTCAAATGGAATATCTAACAAAAATTTTTTTCCCATCGTTCGAATTTCCGCGCACGCTACTAGACCTTCCCGGGACCGCGACGTCCATCACGTTGGACAGCCTGCTGCCGGGTCGCGAGTACACGGTCACCGTCATCGAGCTGGGCGCTCGCGGCCTGGAGCGCATCATCCTCACCACCACGCAGACGACCGGTGAGCGTGCCGCGGGCGATCACGGGCTAAGCGGTAGCGGTCGCAGCGGTGGCAGGGGTCGTAGTATAACACTTAGGCGTTCGCGACCAATGTTGTCCCGCAATGGAGTTTCGTTGTTTTGTTTTTTGGGGGTTAGATCGCGTAAATATAAATGTGTCGTGGTGGCGGGTTTCACTACGCGATCTAAACATATTTTCTTGTTATCATTGGTAGTAGTAATCGTAGCTCACGAGGTCGATAAGATCTTCTTCTAAAGACTCCCAAGGTCAAGGTTCTGTTCCTGGGCTGGTCGGGACTTTGCCACAGTGCAGCTCCCACGCTTTTAAACGACGCTTTGCCTTTGCTAATAAGACAATCAGAATCGTTAGCTGTATTTAAGTCCTGTATTGAAAACTCGCCTCCTTAAACAGCTTAAAGGACGCGACCAGAGCTTGGCTGTCTTCACTCCAACGCTGTCCTCTGGACAGTACGGTCCCTTCACCTGATGAAGGCCACTTGTGTTGTGGCCGAAACGTCGTGATTTTTTGTTTTATTTTTTTACCAACGTGACTTTACCGAATAGAACCAAAGAGTATGGGTCCTTAAACTGATATTAACCCCCCACTAGTTCTTGTCGTTATACCCTGCAAGTTCTGAGCGAGTGGGCCAGCGAGTGAGTGACTGAATGAGTGGGCGAGTGAGTAGGTGGCTGGGTGAGTGGGTGAGCGAGTAGGTGAGTGGGTGACTGAATGAGTGGGCGAGTGAGTGGGTGACTGAATGAGTGCGCCAGTGAGTAGGTGAGTGGGCGAGTGAGTAGGTGAGTGGGCGGGTAAGTAGGTAAGTGAGTGGGTAAACTGGCGTTTACTCCCCCACTAGTTCTGGCCGTGTACCCAGCAGGTTCTGTTTAGTTCCTGACCCCCTTGACTCCATTCCGCTCCTCTGGTCCCGCAGCCCCGGACGCCCCCGAGAGCTACTTGATCGACGAGGTCACCGAGTCAACAATCGTCATCCGCTGGAGGCTACCCAGCGCGCAAGTCTCTGGTACGACTCGCGCTCGCTCGATTGCTCGCTGACCTCCCGTCGTGCTTTCTCTCTCTGTCTCCCCCGCGGCCCTCTCTTCCCACAACCCCCCGGTGGACAATTAAACCCTTTCCCGTTCCCGTGACATGCGGATACGTCATAGGATTTTCTCACGATACCGTTCCGATGACGTGTACCACGCGCGCACGTCGTGCACGTCATCGGAACCGGAAGAAAAACTAAAATACCAAAAAACGTTATCGGTACCGAGGCTCCCACAAGGTCATGCGGGAGGGCGTGTGGCACAGTGTTGGTGCGATAGTGTAGCGGTTAGCGCGCTGCGCTATGAACCTGGCACCCGGGTTCGATTCCCGCTCACAGCCAACACCAGTGACGATTATCTGGACTGGTCCCGGGCCTCCCCTAGGTCGACTCAGCCTCAAATGAGTACCTGGTGCGGTGTGTAAACATCGCGACTAGGGAGACAAAGGCGGTCGGGCGTGGTGCTGGCCACCCACCCCCTCGTGTACCGTCCCGGCCTTCATAGGTGCTCGCTAACAGCACTTGCCCCTACAGTCTGTTAAGGCTATATGGGGGATCTTTGTCTTTGTGCCAGCTATCGCAGAGTGGTGGGAGTCATGTCGCTACGGTTCTCCGCGGTGCCTTTAAGAACAACGGCACCGCTACCACGCCTCTGGATGTAAAATTAACGCTGAGCCGATCGCACGTTCCGAGATTCAGCAGTGAACAGGACCCCCCCCCCCCCACCTCCCTCCACCCCCGCAACCTGCAGTACGTCCCAGAACGGGAAAGTGGTGAAGTTATTTTACTTTTGTTGGAAGAAGAACTGATGACGTACCCAAGTACGTCATCATGGGTGCTCGACTAACAGCAATTGCCCCAAACAGCCTGTAATAAATCTTTTTAGGGGGGCGGGAGGGGGGTGGGGGCAGGAGGGGAGGGGGGCGCGTTTGGGGGGGGCCGAGGAGACCTTCATCTTTGCGACGTCTCGTCCCGTCTCCCGGCACAGCGTTCCGCATCATCTACCTGCCCAACGTGGACGGCGGAGAGAGCACGGACCTGCACCTCCCGCCGGACGTGACGCGCGCACGCCTCGTAGACCTCCTGGCAGGGCACACCTACAACATCAGCGTCTTCTCCGTGGCCGAAGACCTGGAGAGCCCCCCTCTCTTCTTTCAGGTGTCCACCCAGGGCTCAGCGCAAACTGGTGAGGACGCCCCTCCCCCCACCCGGGCCTCGCCCCCCCCCCCCCCCTCTCTCATCGTCATGTGGATGACGCCGGACGCCGGGCGCCAGCACGCCTCCACCACGGGCAGGATCTCGGCGTTCCGACCTCTGACCTCCTCTGACCTCTGACCTACACGTGTTATAGACGTCCTCCCTCCTCGTATGACGAGGAAACGTTGCTACCGTAATTCATCAGCTGGAGATTAACTGTGCAGCCCCATCAAACTCGTGTCTGCAGAGTCTCTGTACCAACCCCCCTCCCCACCACATTCTGTTCGTGCTCTCGACCGGGCTCCTACTGATCCCCCGCCACCATCACTGGCACCGCCACCACCGCCACCGCAACCACCACCACCACCACCACCCCCGCCACTACTGCCACCACCGTCGCCACCACCACCGTGCCACCGCCACCAAAACCACCTCCACTGCCACCACCGGCACTCTCACCAACACCACCACAACCACCACAACCACCGCCACAACCACCTCCACCACCGCCACTGCCACCACCACCGCCACTAGTGAGGAATGTAGCTGTTTCACATTCCTTTTCTGGCTGTGAGGAGGCTGAGCGGCATCTCGGCTCTTAGCTTCAGCGGTCCGGGCTCCCCTTGCTGCGATCATTTACTGTCCTGTCGGCGCGCCGTTTTAAATCGTTCATCGGCGCGCCTAGCGACTGCGGTTCATTCCGTTCGGAAACTTCATTTACTTAGACCGGAGGTGGAATCCGACGAGCTGTGAAGCTCTTCGCGGATGCCCAGTGAGCGGGCACTGGGTCAGAACGTTACAACGACAAACACAAAACGAAAAACACGATGGGAGCGCAATGTATAGGAAAGGTAAACACATCGCTGAAATGCAAATGATACGAATAAAACTGAACAATTTTTATGTTACCAGGTATAGCCCAGGCTCGTGACGACGATCACGACGTGACTGCAAGGATTCATCTTCTTTGGTTCTTTCGGTAAAGTCACGTAGAATGAGAATAAAATAATAAATTGATAAAAGAAAATAACACAATAATATTCTCACGACGTTTCAGCCACAACACAAGTGGACTTCGTCCCTTCACCTGATGAAGGCCGCTTGTGTTGTGGCCGAAACGTCGTGAGAATTTTATTGTGTTATTTTATTTTATAAATTTATTATTTTATTCTCATTCTACGTGACTTTACCGAAAGAACCAAAGAAAACAAACAAAAATTATGACGATGGTGGTGGCGGTGGCGATGGTGGCAGCGGTGGTGATGGCGGTAGTGGCGGTAGTGATGGTGGTGGCGGTCGTGGCGGTAGTGATGGCGGTGGCTGTGGTGGAGGTGGTGGCGGTGGTGGCGATGGCGCTAGTGATGGGGGTGACGGTGGTGGGAGTGGCGGTGGTGACAGTGGTGGCGGTAGTGATGGTGGTGACGGCGGCGGCGGCGGCGATGGCGGTGGCGGTGATGGCGGTGGTGGAGGTAGTGATGCTGGTGACGGCGGCGGTGGTGGCATTGACAGCAGCGGTGGTGGCGGTGGTGGTAGCGGCGGCGTCTTCCTTCGCAGGTGCCGCTGCCGCCGCCCGCTTCACGGCACTCTCACCAACAGCCCCGTCGACGCAACACGACGGGGGATCTTCGCCCACCCTCTTTGTCTTTTTTTGCATCAGAGCAAAGGCCGCCGCTGCCGCCCAGCGACCTGACCTTCGTGACCGTGGGCGAGACCAAGGCCACGCTCATGTGGGCCCCTCCGCCGTCCGCGGAGGTGCACGGCTACCGGGTCGTGGCGACGGCCGCGCCGGGCCAGGGCCGCGTCCCCACCCGCGAGGTGCCCCTGACCTCCGACCTGTACGCGGAGGTGGGTGGCCTCCTGCCGGGCCACACCTACCGCTTCCAGGTGTTCGCCATGTACCCCGGCGGCGGGGAGAGCCCACCGCTGCAGGGAGAGCAGACGACCAGTGAGTTCCCCTCCCTGCCGCCACTCCCTCAAATCCCTCCCTCCCTCAATTCCGTCCCTCAACTCCATAAAATCCCTCCCTGCCTCCGTCAACTCGCTACCCCCCTCACTCCATCCCCTCCCTCCCTCCCCTCTGCATCTTCCATTCCTCTGCGCTGCGCTATGAACCCCGGCAACAAAGGCGTCCGGGCGTGGTGCTGGCCACCCACCCACTCGTGCGCCGTGTCGGTCTTCATAGGTGCTCGCTAACAACACACTTGCCCCAACAGTCTTTTAAGGCTGTACGGGGGATCTTTGTCTTTGTTTTATGTACGTGGCGAGCGGTGGTGTAGCGGTTAGCGCGCCGCGCTATGAACCCAGCAACCCGGGTTCGATTCCCGCTCACACGGCCAACACCCGTGATGATTATCTGAACCGGTCCTGAACCTCCCCTAGGTCCACATGGCACTCAAATGAGTACCTGGTGCGGTGTGTAGTAAACATCACCACAAGGGAGACAAAGGCGGCTGGGCGTGGTGCTGGCCACTCACCCTCTCATGCGCCGTGTCGGCCTTCATAGATGCTCGCTAACAGCTCTTGCCCCAACAGTCTGTTAAGGCTATAGGCGGGGGGATCTGTGTATTTGTCTTTTGTGCATATCGAACTTCTTTTGCGCCGTACGTAGCCAATCGTGCTAATTGGAGGTGCGCGGGTGGGGGGGGCGGGTGAGGGGGGACAACAAACCAATCACAGAAAAGCACTTCTAAAGAACTGAGCTTTCATTCTAGATGGCGAATTAAAAGTGCACAGCGCGCAGTCGCTCCCTAACATCGGAAGGAAGAGCGTTCCAGATGGCCGTGGACGTGAAAGCGCCGCGCGATGCGGTGACCACCGTCTTTGTTCAATAGCCAGCGCAAAAAGCCGCCGCTGCCGCTGCTGCAAGGATGACCAGAGTCATGTGGTGTGGGTGGAGCCAACAGTTGGAACCTTGGCGACTTCATTTCATATGGCCCATGGGGATGGATGCAGCCCAAAACTTAATTCCATGTGTGCCAAGGGACGAACAGAACCCACAACTTCATTCCATATGGCCCAATTTTTTTTTGTATTATTTCTTATGGTCCTTTAACCTCATTTCATACGGCCCACAAGATGCATACAGCTCGGGAATTGGGACTTCATTTAATATGGCCAGAGGGAAGGGTTACAGCTTGGGACTTCATTCATATGGCTCCAGTAACCGTATGTCACGCGGTCCGAGGGACAGACATGAAACGCGGATTCTATTTCGTGCGGCCCATAAATTGAATGTCACATGGCCCACGAATACATTTCTTGACAGAAGTGACGGCGGCTCGCGTGTTAACACGTGGCCCACGCTAAGGAAAAGTTTCCCCTTCCCCTCGCTGCACATCCTCGAGACGTGGTGACGTTGAGACGCTCCGTAGTGGCACACGGTGCGTTTATGTCTCGTCTGCGCTGCACGGGCGTCGAACGGGCGTTCAGCGGGCGTCGAGCAGGGGTCGAGCAGGGGTCGAGGATGGGTCGAGGATGGGTCGAGCATGGGGTCGAGCATGGGTCGAGGATGGGTCGAGCATGGGGTCGAGCATGGGGTCGAGCATGGGTCGAGCAGGGGTCCAGCATGGGTCGAGCAGGGGTCGAGCAGGGGTCGAGCATGGGTCGAGCAGGGGTCGAGCAGGGGTCAAGCAGGGGTCAAGCAGGGGTCGAGCAGGGGTCAAGCAGGGGTCGAGCAGGGGTCGAGCGCCGACGGTCTTTCCACTGTAGAGCTGCTCACTGTCAGACACGAGTGCTTTGTTTATCAAATTGAAACAAAAACATTTCCAGAGGTTGGCTTCCGTTTTCGGGGTGATATCTGACGCAATGGGGAACGTTGTTGGTTTAAAGTACGGTAAATGTGTTTTTTTTGTGAGGTCGAGGCCGACCCGGGCCATTGCCTCCATGCGAAGTTTGCCCATGACATCGTTACCTATTAATAATCGTTATTTAGAGACAATTCAAGTGAAAAATGTGACGCGTTAAATGTTTTTTTTTTTCATTACGCAATGTCTAGAAAAATCATTCACGCTCCCATGCCAGAGAAGCGCAGCCCCCACGTTTTAAAAGAATGGCCCACGTAGGCGGATGTCACGGTAATGCTTCCGCGAAGGCCTTCGATTAGCCTTTGCACAACAGAGGGGGCGGCACTTCAACGCCTGCTCCGCGTTGCGAGCGTAATGATCGGCGCGCGACAGCCGACGCCAATCTTTGAACCTTCAGAGTCGAGTGCCGAACCAAATCTTACGTGGCGGGTTTCTCCATGCCGTCACTCCTGGCCAGGATCACCGCCTCAACAAATCCACCACCGCGCTGCAATTGAGAAGCCGCCCTAATCAGAGACGGCTGAAACCTGTATTTGAAACCCCAGGGTTTCGAATACGGTGCAAGCCCAAACGCTCTGACCTCTGGGCCACCTTTAAAAAAAAATAGTTTTAGAGAGACATAGGAGTGCCTTGCACGGGTCTGGAACGAAAGATCTAAGACGTACCATTGGAATATCGTTAGGGGGCAGATCTGTGGGGGGAGTTAGGGGTGTCTACTGTGCAACAGCAGCAGCAGCGGCAGGACCTGGCAGAGGGGCACAGAACGTTGGGATCGTGGGTCCTTGTCCACGGTGGCTAGGAGATGTTAACTACCTCGCCTGGTTTACAGGAGGTCGTGGGTTCGATCCCGACCTTGACGCCTGCTGTATATTTGGAGTTTGCGTGTCTCTCTCTCTCTCATCATCATCACGGCGGCTAGGAGATGTTAACTACCTCGCCTGGTTTACAGGAGGTCGTGGGTTCGATCCCGACCCTGACGCCTGCTGTATATTTGGAGTTTGCGTCTCTCTCTCTCTCATCATCATCACGGTGGCTAGGAGATGTTAACTACCTCGCCTGGTTTTACAGGAGGTCGTGGGTTCGATCCCGACCCTGATGCCTGCTGCTGTATATTTTGAGTTTGCGGTGTCTCTCTCCGCGTGGTCGTGTGGATTTTTCTCCGGGTCCTCCGGTTTTGCTCCTCCACATGTAGAATCGACATCGCCACGCGTTTAGAGTATCTGGCTGCTATAAATGTCCACTTGACGCTAAGCTGCTGCGCTGAGCCATCGCTTACGATAGCCGGGTCGCTTCTGAAAGAGAGCGACATAGCTCAAGTGAGCCATACCTGGTGATATATATATTCAAAAAAATCCTTTATTTTTTTTATTAAAATGCGTACTATTATTTATCATTATTTTAGAGTCCACCGCGGTACACGTGGCGTCCAGCGGCTGAAGCAACGGTTTGCAGGGGTTCCCCTCCTCCGTTCCATCCGTTCCATCTGTTCAATCTGGTTCATCTGCCACACCGAGTTGAGCTGAGCACGTCCACCGTGCAGCAGCAGCAGCAGCGGCAGCAGGACCCGGCAGAGGGGCGCCGTGCGTTGGCAGCGTCGCCCATTGGCAGCGTCGCCCATTGGCAGCTTCGCGCTTTGGCAGTGTCGATCGACCCCTGCCCCGACGTCCCTGTCGTCTCGATCCCCCCACACCCCGCCCCCCGCCCCTCCAGAGCTGGACGCTCCGCGGGACGTCCGCTTCGTGGAGGTGGGCGAAACGAGCTTGACGGCGGCGTGGCGAGCGCCCCGGGGGCCCATCGCGGGCTACCTGGTGCGCTGCGAGCCCACGGACGGCGGCGAGCCCCTGGAGCGGCAGCTGGGAGCCGACGTGGCGAGCTTCACGGTGGACGGCCTGCGGGCGGGGAGCGAGTACGTGGTCACGGTGTACGCGCTCGCACGCGGGGACGAGGAGCGTAGCCCCGGGGTCAGCGGAATCGTCTCCACGCGTGAGTCCGAGCGTCGTTGACGTGCCGCGCCCCCGACCCCCAAACCCCTCTTCTGCCCCCCCCCCTTCCCGCTCCTCCTCCCCTACACCCCCCCCCCCCTCCCCACGCTCCTCTCCCTCTCTCTCCTGCCCCCCTCCCCACTCTTCTCTTCCCCCGCTCCCCACTCACCCCTCCCCGCTCCACCTCCCCTACCCCCACTAGTTGTATTTACTGGCGAAACGTCGTACTCTGATTGTAAATGTTGTGGCTTGGCTCTCCAACACACAACCGGTGGTGCTGTACTAGTATGCTACACTATACACTACTATACACTACACTACACACTAGTGCTGTACTAGTATACTACACTATACACTACACACTAGTGCTGTTCTAGTATGCTACACTATACACTACTATACACTACACACTAGTGCTGTACTAGTATACTACACTATACACTACTATACACTACACACTAGCGCTGTACTAGTATACTACACTATACACTACACACTAGTGCTGTACTAGTATACTACACTATACACTACTATACACTACACTATACACTACACACTAGTGCTGTACTAGTATACTACACTATACACTACTATACACTACACTACTATACACTACACTACACACTACACTGTACACTACACACTAGTGCTGTACTAGTGACGAATTGGCCACGTTCTGTTTACGTGACAATTCTTTACTAGTTGGGCTGTGTCGGGTGGTGGCGGGTTTAACGACACATTTATATATTTACGCGATCTAACCCAAAAAAAACCTTTATTATAAACGTGAGGTAGTTATATTCTTTGATTCTTTCGGTAAAGTCACGTAGAAAAAAAAACAGTGAATAAAAATAATAAAAATTTAATTTAAAAAAACCACGAATGTAACCTGTAGCCTGGTTCTTCATCGGAGTGAGTGTACTGGCAGTCTATAATGTAGACTGTAGCCTGGTTCTTAACCTGAGCGAGCATACTGGCAGTCTATAATGTAGACTGTAGCCTGGTTCTTAACCTGAGTGAGTGTACTGGCAGTCTATAATGTAGACTGTAGCCTGGTTCTTAACCTGAGTGAGTGTACTGGCAGTCTATAATGTATACTGTAGCCTGGTTATTAAGTTGGGTGAGTGTACTGGCAGTCTATAATGTAGACTGTAGCCTGGTTATTAAGTTTGGTGAGTGTACTGGCAGTCTATAATGTAGACTGTAGCCTGGTTCTTAAGTTTGTTGAGTGTACAGGCAGTCTATATTGTAGACTGTAGCCTGGTTCTTAACCTGGGTGAGTGTACTGGCAGTCTATAATGTAGACTATGTTTCAGTAATAAAAATAATAAATAATAGAATAAAAATAAAGGTGGTTAAACGAGGATTTATAAACAAAAGCCTGTGCCGTCGTTGTCGGGGAAACGATGATGGAGCCTCGTGTGGGTAGTTCCTGCCGCCGTGTGTTCCAATGGGGTTATTAATGATACATTAATGCTGTCGTAACCGGAGGTCAAATCAACGCCAATTTAAACTTCGCTCTCGAGTTTTTCTTGGATGAATTGAAAAAAGGAAAAGACGTGAATGAAAAGGTTGGTTGTTTTCACCAACTCCCCCAGAGTTCAGCAACGCAAGCACTCCAAACTGTGAGCCGCTTTTCAGGATTAACGCCACACACACTGCCGCTACGATTGTCAGGGTGGAGGAGGTGGTGGGGTGGGGGGTTCTTTTGTAGGGCAAAAGTTGGTCTGCGTTCCAACGCACGCACCACAGCAACAACAACAACAACAGAAAAATGGGACCACCTTTGCGGTATTCTGGGCTGTCAGAAACAAGCCGTCCGTTCGCTGGCCTCCGCTGGATTTAAACGTTGCCACGTGGGCGAGCCCGCCCTCTGTGATCTGGCCGCAAACCATGTACCATTTATATATATGTAAAATAAAACAAAATTAAATGAAAGTATTTTGCCTCGAGCTGAAAAAGCAACGTGAGCAGAACTCAGTTCGGGTCGACACGCGTAAATAATAATAATAATGATCTTAAAGATAAAATTGTATTTATTTAACAGGATAGATATTTCTCCAGATCAGTATTATTATCAAGCAGCATTTAAGTGTCGATTTAAGGCTTTCGTGACTGCAAGGATTCATCTTCTTTGGTTCTTTTGGTAAAGTCACGTAGAATGAGAATAAAATAATAAATTAAAAAACTAAAATAACACAATAAAATTCTCACGACGTTTCGGCCACAACACAACATCAGGTGAAGGCCACCTGTGTTGTGGCCGAAACGTCGTGAGAATTTTATTGTGTTATTTTATTAATTTATTATTTTATTCTCATTCTACGTGACTTTACCGAAAGAACCAAAGAAAAAGGAGCATTTAAGTGAGCAAACTCTGCTCCGATTTCAACGTGCCGGGTTCTCGTCAGCGGACTTAGAATTGTGAAATAAATGCTGCTGGATTCTCAACAGTCAGACACCAGCGGGGGGTTGACCATACTTCACCGCCCTGGTGAGTGCATGTCCATTACTCCAGTCAGTATTAGCTCAAATGTCACGTGCCACTGACCTCGGCGACGATTTTACCCATAATGCAAATCTAAATTGCTTTTTAACCCTCGCAATTTTTTTCGCGGATAGGAGGAGGAGCCGCGTGGGAAATTCTTCCTATTGTCCGCGATTATTTTCTACCTTATTTTTTACCCCCTTGGGCGAGAGAAGTAAGAAAAATCGTGGATAGCCCTGCGGATAATCGGATATGGGGTCTTTGTACCCAGCCCCCCCCCTCCCCTTCCCCCCCACCAAATCACCGCGGATTCGAGGAGTTCTGGGGGGGGTTACTCGCGTGCAAGATCGGCAGATATGTGGAGGAGCGAGGTGGGGAGTTGGGTGGAGGAGAGGGGTAGAGGGGGGAGGAGGAGGGAGTGGGGGAGGGAGAGGATGGGAGAAGAGGCGCGTTGACCGCCGATTTACATTTCTTGTCCTCTTAGAGTCGGTGAGGGAGATGTCGGAGTTTGTGATCGAGGTGACCGAGTCCACCATCGTGGTGTCGTGGAACAGCGTGCCCCGGCTCTCCATCAAGGTGCGTCGTCGCCATCGTCGTGGTCATCAACGTCGTCATCGTCGTCGTCATCAACGTCGTCATCGTCGTCGTCATCAATGTCGTCATCGTCGTCGTCATCAACGTCGTCATCGTCGTCGTCATCAACGTCGTCATCATCGTCGTCATCAACGTCGTCATTGTCGTTGCCATCAACGTCGTCATCATCGTCGTCATCAACGTCGTCATCGTCGTCGTCATCAACGTCGTCATCGTCGTCGTCATCAACGTCGTCATCATCGTCGTCATCAATGTCGTCGTAGCCTCCAAGGGCCCCACGCTTCTCCAACGTCGGCTCGCTAGCGTAGGCGGTCGCCTCCGTCAATACAGAACCGTAGAGACCCAAAGAGACTCACAGAAACCCACGGAAGAGACCCGATAGAGACCCACACTCATCTGTACGTACGGAGATTCCGCGGGAAGGACAACAAACTAACACAACAAAAAGCGGTTCTAAACATTAAATGAGTTTTCGGTCTAGATTTTAAAAGTGCATAGCTCCAGTGGCTTCCTAATATTGGAAGGCAGAGACCCATAGAGACCCACAGAAATCCAGACTCATATAGAATCATGGAGACTCACAGAGACCCAGATAAAACCCACAGAAACCAACAGAAACCCACAGAGACCCATACTCATCTGTGCGTACGTACGTTGAACTTCTTTCGCAACCCGTACGTAGCCAACCGCGCTAATCGGAGGTGGGGTTGGGGGAAAGGGACAACCAATTAAAACACAAAAAAATCAGTTCTCAAGAAGTGAGTTTTCAATTTTAGATTTGAAAGGGCATAGCTCCAGCGGCTTCCTGATATCAGAAGGAAGAGACCCCGAGAGACCCGCGGCGACCCAGAGACTCACACAGAACCACAGAGGCCCACAGAAACCCCCCAGAGACCCACGCTCGCACGTATGTACGTACGTACGTTGAACCGCTTTCGCAACCCGCACGTAGCCAACCGCGCTATGGTATGACGCACACTGCGACGTCCGCGGCGTTTGCGCGCGCAGGTGAGAGTTGCGCCCGTGGAGGGAGGTGGCGACGCTCGGGAGTTCGAGTCGGACTCGGGCCGCCTGCTCATCGAGGACCTCACGCCCGGCGTGGACTACACGGTCACCATCCGCGTGCTTGTCGATGGGCAGCCGCGCGGGCAGCCAATCCAGCGCCACGTCACGACCGGTGAGATTGCGCGCCCACCGCTCGCTGGCCGGCGTCGCCACCACCACGGTTACTGTTCACTCAGTCACTCACTCACTCACCCACTCACTCACTCACCCACTCACTCACTCACTCACCCACTCACTCACTCACCCACTCACTCACTCACTCACCCACTCACTCACTCACCCACTCACTCACTCACTCACCCACTCACTCACTCACCCACTCACTCATTGACCCACTCACTCACTCACCCACTCATTGACCCACCCACTCACTCACCCACTCACTCACCCACTCACTCACTCACCCACTCACTCATTGACCCACCCACTCACTCACCCACTCACTCACTCACCCACTCACTCATTGACCCACCCACTCACTCACCCACTCACTCATTGACCCACCCACTCACTCACCCACTCACTCATTGACCCACCCACTCACTCACCCACTCACTCACCCACCCACTCACTCACCCACTCACTCACGCATTGATCCACCCACTCACTCACTCATCCACTCACTCATTGACCCACCCACTCACTCACCCACTCACTCATTGATCCACCCACTCACTCACCCACTCACTAATTTACTCATTGACCCACCCAATCACTCATTTACTCATTGACCCACCAAATCACTCATTTCCTCATTGACCCACCCACTCACTCACCCACACACTCACTCATTGACCCACCCACTCACTCACCCACCCACTCTCTCACTCATGCACTCATTGGCCCACTCACCCACCCATCCACTCAATTACTCACTCATTGACTTACTCATTTACCCACTCACTCTCTCACTTATGCACTCAATCACTCACTCATTGGCCCACACCCACTCGTCCACTCACACTCGCACTCCATCACTCACTCAGCCCACTCACTCACCCACTTGCCTACTCACCCACTTACCCATCCACTCACTCACCCACCCACCCACTCACTCACCCACCTACCCACTCACCCACCCACCCACTCACTCACTCACCCACCCACCCACCCACTCACTCACTCACCCACCCACCCACTCATCCACCCACCCACTCACTCACTCACCCACCCACCCACTCACTCACTCATCCACCTACCCACCCACTCAATCACTCACCTACCCACTCACCCACCCACTCATTCACTCACTCACCCACTTACCCACTCACTCACCCACCTACCCACTCACCCACTCACTCACCCACTCACTCACCCACCCACTCACTCACTCACCCACCTATCCACTCAACCACCCACCCACTCACTCACTCACCCACCTACCCACCCACTCACCCACTCACTCACTCACTCACCCACCCACTCACCCACCCACCCACTCTCTTCCTTACGGTATTAGGAAGCCACTGGAGCTACGCACTTTAAAATCATCAACTAGATTGAAACACTAATTTCTTGCAATCTTCTTTTTGCGTGTTTAGTTTGTCCTCCCTCCCCTCCCCGCACCTCCGAATAGCCACGGTTGGCTACGTACGGCGCGAAAGAAGTCCAACACACACACAGACGAAAAACAATGTTATGGACCAACACGTCGAGTCTCGTTCTGCTCGCTCGTAGCTTCACGCACCGCGTGGCACCGGTTTTCGATGTCACGGCGTGGCATCGAAAACCGGTGAGGGGCTGGTGGTGGTGGTGGTGGGGGGAGGGGGGGACGCAAGCCCCCTCGCCAAGGCGATCGAGAGAGAGCCCCCCCCCCCCCAGCCGTGTGGGTCGCTGGCGCTGAGCCGTACCCCTTCCCATCCCCCCCTCCCCCTCCCCAGCCTTGCCTCCACCCACTGAGATCAAAGTGGAGACCAACGGAAATCCCGGGGAGCTGCAGGTCTCCTGGGAGAGCAGCGAGGTGCAGGGTCAGTGACGGCGACGCACGCTCGCACCGCACGTGCACGTGCACGCGCACGTGTACACGCTCGCTCGCTCGCACGCACGTGCACGCGCACGCATACACGCACGCTCGCTCGTGCACACGCACGCACGCTCGTGCACACGCACGCTCGCTCGTGCACGCACGCTCGCTCGCTCGCTCGCACGCACACGCACGCACGCGCACGCACGCACGTGCTCGCAACGGCAAAGCGTTTACGCTCAAAGACAAAGATCACCCCTCCGCCACTGTAGCCTGCTGGGCCAAGTGCTGTCGGCGAGCGCCTGTGAAGGGCGACGCGACGCGCCAAGGTTCCGTGTGGCCATCAACACGCCCGGCTGCCTCAGTCCACATCGACGTTTTTGGGTGCCACGGTGGCTGGAAGATGTTGACTACCTCGCCCGGTATACAGGAGGGCGTGGGTTCGACCACCTAACCATGACGCCCGCCGTACATTTGGAGTTTGTGAGCTCTCCCCGTGGTGGTGCGGATTTTTGTCGTCGCTTTTTTTTTCCCTCGAACGAAGGCGGTCTCACGGAACCAGGGAGCGGCAGCGATCAGCAGCTGCTACTGCTGTTATTGCTGCTGCTGCTACTGCTGTTATTGCTGCTGCTGCTGCTACTGCTGCTGCTTTTGCTGCTACTTCTTCTGCCATTGCTGCTGCTGCAGCTCCTCCCTCTGCGGCTACTACTGCCGCTGCTACCGCTGCTACTTCTTCTGCTATTGCCGCTGCTACTGCAGCTGCTGCTACTGCGCGGCCGTCTGGAACGCTCTCCTTCGGATATTTGGAAGCCGCTGGAGCTACGCCTCCATACATCTAGATTGTAGATGGAAAACTTTCCCTGGCAGTGCTTTTCCGTGTGTTCAGCTTGTTGCCCTTACTACCCCCCTCCCCCCACACCCCGCATGTCCGATTGTCGCGGTTGGCTTCGTAACGGTGCGAAAGAAGTTCAGCGTAAAAAAATGAAAACCCCCAACGTCTCCCCGGAATGCCCTCTCTCGGATCCCTCCCCCCGCCAGCCGCCGCCGCCGCTGTGCACGGCATGGTCGGACTACGCTGCGAACGTAAACGGCCTCTTCCTCTGACGCACGAGGAACACGATACCAAAACATGACCCGGACACATCATCCCCCCCCCCCCCCCGCTCGCAGAAGCTCGCGTGCCCTTCTCGCTGACAGCAGCAGCAGCAGCAGCTGCAGCCGCAGCCGCCGCGGTACCAGCTGCAGTAGCAGCAGTAGCAATAGCAGTAGTAGCAGCAACAGTAGCAGTAGCAGCAGTATCAGCAGCAGTAGCAGCAGCAGCAGCAAAAGTAGCAGCGATTCCAACTGCAGCAGCTACAGTAGCAATAGCAGTAGTAGCAGCAGCAGCAATTAGCAGAAGACTTAACAGCAGCAGTAGCAGCTGCAATAGCAGCAGCTACAGCAGTAATAGCAGTAGTAGCAGCAGCAGCAGCAATTAACAGAAGACTTATCAGCAGCAGTAGCAGCAGTAGCAGCTCCAATAGCAGCTGCAGGAGCAGCAATAGCAGTAGTAGCAGCAGCAATAGCAGAAGACTTATCAGCAGCAGTAGCAGCAGTAGCAGCTCCAATAGCAGCAGCAGGAGCAGCAATAGCAGTAGTAGCAGCAGCAATAGCAGAAGACTTATCAGCAGCAGTAGCAGCAGCAGCAGCAGCTGCAATAGCAGCAGCAGGAGCAGCAATAGCAGCAGCAGCAATAGCAGAAGACTTATCAAGCAGCAGTAGCAGCAGCAGCTGCAATAGCAGCAGCAGGAGCAGCAGCAGGAGCAGCAGGATCAGCAGGAGTAGCAACTGCTTATCGCTGTCGTTTCCCTGATGCCGTGCTCTCCTCGAACTCGTCATCAAACAATGTTGTTGTTGATGTTGATGTTGTTGATGTTGTTGTTGAAAAAGACAAAAAAATAATGATTGTCGTAAATATATAAATATCCAACTCAGAAACGCGCCCAGCGATTGCCAGAGGTCCCTGCAGGAACAAACATAATCGTCGCGACTCAAGTCGCGCCGCACGCACGCACGCACGGCCGATTAGTTTAAACGTTTGGAACGCTCCGCCTAACCGCGAACGATGTTGTATGTGTTGCCAAGAGGCCGTACTCGCACCTCCCCCCCCCCACCCCCGACTCTCCCTTTTAAAAACGGAGTTGCAAATCGTTTTGAGAGTTAATTCGCAACAGATTGCCGGTAAGTAATTTAATAATAATAAATAAAAAAAACCCCGACTCGTCGAGAGACGAACGTGAAAAGAGAGAAGAACACTTCCCAGTTTGTCCTCTTGCACGCCGAGCGAGCGGTGAAATAAAATAAAAAAAAATAAAAACGGAATATTTATTTTTTTGCTGGAGGAATCCGATGAGCTACGAAGCTCTTTTGCGCACGTGCCCAGTAGCGGTCACGCGGCTCAGAAAGTTACGAAAGCAATCAATGCGGGCTTTCGCGAGCAATATTCTCCGCGGTAGAGAGGCGTTTGGGTTGCTTGGCTCGCGTCAATAGGAACGCGTCGTTAAAACCCTCCACCACCCGGCGCAGCCAACTCGTTCAAGGTTTTGTCACGTGAACAACGAATTGCCACGTTTGGTTCGCGCGACAAACCTCACTGATTGGTCGCGTCGGGTGGTGCCGGGTTTACCGACACACTTATATATTTACGCGATCTTAACTCTGTCGCCCAAATGAACAACATCGTTGGCTCGGTGGTACAGCGGGTGGACCGCAAATTGGGAGATCGTGAGTTAAAATTCTGATTTGGGGGGGGGGGGGTGGGTTGGCTCAGCCCATCCTCACAGCAGGGTCGATAAAATAGGCACCATTTTTTGGGCAAGTCAACAGTGATTGTACGCTATTGATCGACTAAACCCTCCTCCCCCACTCCGTCCCCTCGTTGAGGTATCATTTTGTGGCCAGGTCGCTTCTGAAAAATAAGTTCACACCTCATGTGGGCTTAGCCTGGTAAGATAAAATCAATTTCAAGGACAATGCCACATACATTATCAGAGTGTGTTTTTTGTTTGCATTCTGACCGCAGGTATTGTGGTCAATGCAAACATGATTCCTCGTAAAAAAAAAGGTCTCAGTTTTGTTGCCAGAGAAAAAAACGGGTAAAAAAAATATTATATTTTGCTCCTGGCAAAGGAGGCCTCGTGACATTTTAAGATAGTTCCCAAACAAAGGCAAACGATCATCCGCGTGCGTGCCGTCCCTTCTCCCCCATGCCCAGTGCCGGATGAAGCTAAGTGCTGGGGCCTGTAGCATGTGATGTTTTAAAGGGGCCCTAAATAAATATATAAATAAGCGTACATATTTAAATACTAATCTTGACTTAAAGCTTTCGTGACTGCAGGAATTCATACTCTGATTTTTTTTTTATATCTACGTGACTTTACCCAAACACCCAAAAAGTATTAAAATACAAATGTTTAACTTGCATAGTAAAGTAATTGTATTTTTTTTCATTTGCTATGCAGCCCAGATAATACGACAAATCGCTAACCTTAAACACCCAGTCGTTCATAAAAGTTGAAGGTGGTATAGTACTATAGTAATAGAGCAAGTGCAGAATCACTGAACCGAAATTCATAGCTTGAAAGCGTTTAGCGCGGGGGCCCTTGAAAGTGCAGGGCCCGGAACTACTACACGTGTAGTAGTAGTAGCTAGTAGTAGTAGCTAGTAGTAGCTACTACATATGTAGTGTAGTAGTAGCTACTACATATGTAGTAGCTACTACTACACGTGTAGTAGTAGTAGCTACTACTACACGTGTAGTAGTAGTAGCTACTACTACACGTGTAGTAGTAGTAGCTACTACTACACGTGTAGTAGTAGCTACTACTACTACACGTGTAGTAGTAGTAGCTAGTAGTAGCTACTACATATGTAGCTACTACATATGTAGTAGCTACTACTACATATGTATGTAGTAGTAGCTACTACTACATATGTATAAATATAGTAGCTACTACTACTACACGTGTAGTAGTAGTAGCTACTACTACTACATATGTAATAGCTACTACTACATTAGCTAGTAGCTACTACTACACATGTAGTAGTAGCTACTACTACTACATGTGTAGTAGCTACTACGACACATGCAGCTACTTGTGCTGCATAGGGGCCGTCCATAAATGACGTCACGCACCTAGGGGGGGGGGGGGGGGGTCAGACATTTGTGACGATGCGTGACGAGGGGGCGGGGGGGGGGTTTGAGAAATGTGACGTCACATCAAAATGCGCAACTTTAAATAAATATAGACAACACGTTCTACTTAATTAAATTGACTTGTTAATAAATGTTTTCTCCTACAACATCAGGGTGCAGCGCCACATGAAATACGCACTACAATGACAATAGTTTAAAGCGATTTGAAGCATGTTTTTTTTTTGGGGGGGGGGGAGGGGGCAGAGCTTTGTGACGTCATATTTGAGATGGGGTGGGGGGTCTGACTTTTTGTGACGCCGTGTGACGAGGAGGGGGAGGGGTCAAAAATCGTCCAAAAAATCGCGTGACTGTCATTTATGGACGGCCTCACATGTGCTACTTACGATACTCCGTTTGCTCCGCAGCCATCACGGCATACCGCGTGACCTGCGTGGCGGACGGCCACGGCGGCTCCCGGCAGGTGCTGGAGGAGGTGGTTTCGCCACAGCACAACTACACAGTGTTCGAGCACCTGCTGCCCGGAGTGCAGTACAACGTGAGCGTCTACGCCGTGGGCATGGACGCCGAGAGCCTGCCCACTTCGGCGGTCGTCGTGCCGGGTACGTGAACCCGGCGGCGGCGGGGGGGGGTACGGAGAAGGGGGGGGGGTGATGGTGATGATGATGGTGCTCATTGTCGGGAGGGGGTGCGTTCGAGCAACGGTGCCAATTCAGACGACAGACTGTGTGTGTGTCTGTGTGCATGCGTGTATGTGTGTGTGCCTGTGCGCGTGCGCGTGTCTGTGTGCATGCGTGTGTGTGTATGTGTGTGTGCGTGTCTGTGTGCGTTTGTGTATGTGTGTGTGCGTGTCTGTGTGCGTGTCTATGTGTGTATGTGTGCGTGTCTGTGTGCGTGTGTGTATGTGTGTGTGCGTGTCTGTGCGTGTGTGTGTGCGTGTCTATGTGGCTGTGTGTGTGTGTGTGCGTGTCTATGTGTATGTGTGTGTGCGTGTCTATGTGTATGTGTGTGTGTGTCTATGTGTATGTGTGTGTGCGTGTCTATGTGTATGTGTGTGTGCATGTCTATGTGTATGTGTGTGTGCGTGTCTATGTGTATGTGTGTGTATGTGTGTGTGCGTGTCTATGTGTGTATGTGTGCGTGTCTGTGTGCGTGTGTGTATGTGTGTGTGCGTGTCTGTGCGTGTGTGTGCGTGTCTGTGTATGTGTGTGTATGTGTGCGTGTCTATGTGTATGTGTGTGTATGTGTGCGTGTCTATGTGTATGTGTGTGTATGTGTGTGTGCGTGTCTATGTGTATGTGTGTGTGCGTGTCTATGTGTATGTGTGTGTGCGTGTCTATGTGTATGTGTGTGTGCGTGTCTATGTGTATGTGTGCGTTCCGTGACGGTGGGGGTTAGGGGGTTAGCGCGCAGCGCTACAAACCTGGCAGCCCGAGTTCGATTCCCGCTCACGGCCGACACCGGTGACGATTATCTGAACGGGTCCAGGGCCTCTGCCCATAGGTCCACTCAGCCTCAAATGAATACCTGGTGCTATGTGTAAACATCGCCACTGGTGCTGGCCACCCACCCACTCATGCACCGTGTCGGTCTTCATAGGTGCTCGCGAACAACACTTGCCCCAACAGTCTTTTAAGGCTGTACGGGGGATCTTTGTCTTTGTTTTATGTACGTGGGGAGCGGTGGTGTAGCGGTTAGCGCGCCGCGCTATGAACCCAGCAACCCGGGTTCGATTCCCACTCACACGGCCAACACCCGTGATGATTATCTGAACCGGTCTTGAACCTCCCCTAGGTCCACATGGCACTCAAACGAGTACCTGGTGCGGTGTGTAGTAAACATCATCACAAGGGAGACAAAGGCGGCTGGGCATGGTGCTGGCCACCCACCCTCTCATGCGCCGTGTCAGCCTTCATAGGTGCCGCTCGCTAACAGCACTTGCCCCAACAGCCTGTGTTCAGGCTATGCGGGGGATCTTTGTCTTTGTGCCGAGAGGCCTGGGACGGTACGGCCAACGTGGTCCTGTCGCGTTGTGGAATCCCGTTGCTCTTCTCCCTGTCGTCCCCGCATGTCAACACCTCAGTGGGCTTTGCCTGCTGGGATGGTTCAAGTTGTATTTGTACGTGTTTCGCTGATTTGTTTACCGTTTACTTTGCACTCCTCTCGTAGGTTGTCGTATTGTTTGCTGCTGTAGCGTTCTCACCCCGTGCCTGCCCACCCACCCCCCCCTCGTCCAGTCTAAATAAATGAAGATTCCGAACGGAATGAACCGCAGTCGGCGTGCCGAGGAACATTCTGATTCTGTAATGCAGGTTATTTTTTTGTGGGTTAGATCGCGTAGATATTATTATTATTTTTATTCACCCTATTTATAATCCTTCCGTCTACGTGACTTTACCGAAAGAACCAAAGAATGTAACTACCTCGCGTTTACAATAAAGGGGTTTTTGCTGTTGTTAGATCGCGTGAAAATATCAAATGTGTCGTTGAAACCCGCCAACCACCCGACACGGCCAACTAGTGAAGGGGTTCGTCACGTGAACAGAACGTGGCCAATTCGTCACTGGCACAGCACCAACCGGTTCATCTTCTTTGGTTCTTTCGGTAAAGTCACGTAGAATGAGAATAAAATAATAAATTGATCAAATAAAATAACACAATAAAATTCTCACGACGTTTCGGCCACAACACAAGCGGCCTTCATCAGGTGAAGGGACGAGACTGTCTGGAGGACAGCGCTGGAGCGAACACAGCCAAGCTCAGACCGCGACCTTTAAGCGTCGTGAAACGTCGTGATAATTTTATTGTGTTATTTTATTTTATCAATTTATTATTTTATTCTCATTCTACGTGACTTTACCGAAAGAACCAAGGAAGATGAATCATTGCAGTCACGAAAGCTTTAAATCGAAATTTACACCAACCGGTTGTGTGTCGGAGAGCCAAGCCACGACACTTACAATCTCGAGTACGACGCTTCGCCGGCAAATTGCAACCGGCTTCATCGGGCGTACGGCCGGATTTGTGGACGGCTCCACCTGCTGCGTTCCTTGAAAAAGGCCTTGCGCCCGAAACGTTCTCGCTCCGATTCCCCAGAAATCCCGCCGCCGAAGGGGCTGCGCTTCTCCGAGGAGTCCGACACCAGCGTCACGATGCAGTGGCAGCACCCCAATCTGCCCAACGTGGCGGGGTACCGCCTAACGGTGGCCGCCCCCAGCTCCAGCTCAGACCACGGCGCACCGCACGCGGACCGCGCCGGCCGACCCGTCGCGTTCGGTCGCCCCGCGCAGCACGGAGGAGGAGGAGGAGGAGGAGGAGGAGAGCCCCTGCTGAGTCTGCAGCTGGGGCCCGACGCGGAGCGGTACACCGTGAACGGCCTGGAGCCCGGCATCGACTACCACTTCTCCCTGGCCACGGTCACGGAGCAGGGCCAGAGCCTGCCGGCCGCGCAGTGGCACAGCACGGGTGAGGCCGCCCGCGGTCGCGCCGGTCGTCCCGGCGCGGCTTTCGAACGAAAGGCTCCGCAGAAAGTGCGGTTCGTCGCTCGTTCGTTTCGGCTCGGGCCGTCGTCATTGAAGGCATGGCGAGGGCGGTTTTCTTTCTTTTGAAAACCCCTCCGCCACCCGGCATGGCAGAACAGCGCGAGGCGGCTTCGCGGCTCGAACGCGACGACCCGTCGGGGCGACGATCGTCGTCGTCGTGGCGACGATCGTCTTGGCGACGATCGTCGTCGGAATCAAATCGCCGTCGCGTCGCGAAGCGGCCGCCCGTTTTTTAATTCGCCTTCCCCCCCCCCCACCCCCTCCCTCCCTCCTCCTTCCTCCTCCTCCTCCTCCTCCTCCACGCCCCCCGTGCGGCGACGCAGCCGTGCCACCCCCCACCGGCCTGCGCTTCTCGCACGTGCGCGAGGACGGCTTCCGACTCGGCTGGTCGCCCCCGGCGACGCTGACGACCCCCGCCAAGTTCCTGGTGCGCTGCCGCGCCTCCACGGCCACCGGCCACGGCGGGGACCGCGCCGACGTGGACGTGGCCGCCGGCAGCGGCACGGCGGCGCTGAGCGGTGAGAAGCGCCAAGAGGGCCGGGAGGGGGGGGGGTGGGGGGGGGTGGGGGTGGGGTGGGGGTGGGGGTGGGGGGTGGCGATCGAAGGCCCTCCGCCACTGGCAGGTGCGGCGGGAGCAGCGGTCGTAGCTGATGCCGGAGTAGCAGCGGTAGCGGCAGCGGCGGCTGCCGCAGCATCAGTAGCAGCAGTAGTATCAGCAAAAGCAGCAGCAGCAGTATCAGTAGTATCAGCAACAGCATCAGTAGTAACAGCAGCAGTAGCAGCAGTAGTATGAGCAACAGCATCAGTAGTAACAGCAGCAGTAGCAGCAGTAGTATCAGCAACAGCAGCAGTAGCAGCAGTTGTATCAGCAACAGCATCAGTAGTAACAGCAGCAGTAGCAGCAGTAGTATCAGCAACAGCAGCAGTAGCAGCAGTAGTATCAGCAACAGCAGCAGTAGTAACAGCAGCAGTAGCAGCAGTATTATCAGCAACAGCAGCAGTAGCAGCAGTAGTATCAGCAACAGCAGCAGTAGTAACAGCAGCAGTAGCAGCAGTAGTATCAGCAACAGCATCAGTAGTAACAGCAGCAGTAGCAGCAGCTGCAGAAGCAGTAGCAGTATCAGCAACAGAAGCAGTAGCAGCTGCAGCAGCGACTTTCTCACTCGCCCCTTACTGGGCATCTGTGACAAAGAGCTTCATAGCTCATCGGATTCCTCCAGGCTAAGCGAAGATTCTGGTTTCTGTACGATATTCAGTGACGCGCTCGCAACGGCGCGGTTCGTCGTCAATTTTCTCCTTTACCTCCTGGTGTCTCGTCTGCTCCTGCCCACAGGTCTGCAAGCCGGGACGGAGTACCAGGTGTCCGTACACACCCTCCTGGACGGGCAAGAGAGCGTGGCCCTCACCGGCACTCAGTACACAGGCGAGACCCCCCCCCCCCCCATGCCACCATTCCCCTCTTGTGTTCATCCCTACGTGCATGCACCTATAAGATTACAAACTAGACCCATTTTTTTTTTTTACTTTAACAGGCGAGGCCCCACTATTTTTCAAAAGCGACCCTGGCCATCATCACAAATGATGGCTCAACGAAGTGGGCTCATCATCATCATCATCGCGCGGAAATTTATTGTAGCAGCCAAATACTCTCAACGCGTGGTGACGTCCATTCTAAATGTCGGAGGGGGAAAACCCGAAGGACCCGGAGAAAAATCCACGTGAACGCGGGGAGAGAGAGAGACACGCAAACTCCAAATATACAGCAGGTGTCAGGGTCGTGATCAAACCCACGACCTCCTGCATACCAGGCGAGGTAGTTAACATCTCCTAGCCACCGTGGCGCCCCTGCACCTTGTCCGGTGGGTGGTTTGTCATTGGTGACGACGTGGTATGCCCAGTACGGACGTACATCCCGGGTCGCTGGTTCGACTGGAAGTAGGTGCTGCACGTGACGAGTAGTAGCCACTGAGAGGAGAGGCATTCTGGATGTGGTGTGCCGGGCGAGCTGGAATGAAACCCTGTGTGCATGTGTGTGTGCGCGTGTCTGTGTGTGTACGTGCGCGTGTGTGTGTTTGCATGCGTGTATGCGTGCGTGCGTGTGCGCATGCGGGCGTGCGTGTGTGTGTGCGCGTGCGATTCGCCGTTTTTGCCTCAGCGCCCGACGCTCCGACGGACCTGCAGTTCTCGCACGTGACGCCGACGGCCTTCACCGTCGAGTGGCGGGCGTCGCTCGCCCCCGTGGAGGGCTACCGCGTGCGGTTCGGCCGCGAGGGCCACACCGATCCCCGGGAGGAGTGGGTCCCGACGCCCGGGCACTCCGCGAGCCTCAGCGGCCTCGCGCCCGGCGAGCAGTACACGGTGGCCGTCTACGCGCTGTCCAGCAGCCGCCTGGAGTCGCGGCCGCTCACCGGTCGCCAGATCACACGTAAACCACCACCGCCGCCGTCACCGCAACCGTCACCACCTCTGCCACCGCTGCCACCTCCACCACCACCGCCGCCGCCTCCTCCACCGCCACAGCCGCTACCTCCACCACCTCTACCACCGCTGCCACCTCCACTAACACCACCACCGCCACCTCCAGCATCACCGCCGCCACCACCACCACCGCCACAACCGCCACCACCTCCACCACCACCGCCACCACCACCGCCACCACCACCTCCACCGCCACCGCTGCCACCTCCACCACCACCGCCACCACTACCGCCACCATCGCCACCATCACCACCTCTACCACCGCTGCCACCACCACAGCCACCGCCGCCACCTCCACCATTACCGCCACCACCACCACCTCCACCACCATTGCCGCCACCTCCACCACCTCTACCACCGCTGCCACCTCCACTACCACCACCACCGCCACCACCACCACCACCGCCACCTCCACCATCACCGCCGCCACCACCACCACCACCTCCGCCACCACCGCCGCCACCTCCACCACCACCACCGCCACCTCCACTATCACCGCCGCCACCACCACCACCACCTCCACCACCACCACCGCCACCTCCACCATCACCGCCGCCACCACCACCTCCACCGCTGCCACCTCCACCACCACAGCCACCGCCGCCACCTCCACCATTACCGCCACCACCATCTCCTTCCGCCCGCACGAGACACTGGTAGGTCACGTGATGTCTCTCCTCACAGCCGTGGACAGCCCCACCGACCTCCAGGTCACCAGCCAATCGGCCACCAGCTTCCTCGTCAGCTGGACTCCGCCCACAACCTACGTGTCCAACTACATTGTGAGCTACCACTACGGTAGGCGACCTCTTCGTTTGCATTTATGCATGTACGTAAGTTGAACTTCTTTTGCACCGTACGTAGCCAACCGTGCTAATCGGAGGTGTGGGGGAAGCAGAACCACTGTTAACCGCGGCTCTGCTTCTTCCTATTATTCCCGATTATCCGCGATTTTTTTTCCCAGAATGCAATACATTTCCGGCAATCGCCTGATGATGCCGTTGTTGACATCGCCAGCGAGGCATTGCCGTATCATTAAAAGTATCGCGGTTAATCAATGTATTAATAAATATTTACTGTACCTACAAAAGCCCGCCGTTAACAGGGGCATGGTCGGTAAGCGAACACATTGGGCGATATGGAGGCACTACACTACAGTACTATACACTACACTATACACTACACTATACACTACACTACTATGCACTACACTCTACACTACTATACACTACAATACTATACACTACACTACTATACACTACACTATACACTACACTATACACTACACTATACACTACACTATACACTACTATACACTACACTATACATTATACTATACACTACACTATACACTACTATACACTACACTATACACTATCATACACTACACTACACATTGGGCTCTATGGAGGAACTACACTACTATACACTACACACTACACTATACACTACACTGCTATACACTACACTCTACACTACTATACACTATGCTACTATACACTACACTACGACACTACTATACACTACGCTACTATACGCTACACTACACTACTATACACTACACTATACACTGCACTACGACACTACTATACACTACACTATACACTACACTACGACACTACTATACACTACGCTACTATACACTACACTATACACTACTATACACTACACTATACACTACACATTGGGCTCTATGGAGGCCCATCGTAAAGCGATTCGTCGTTAACAGGGGCGGCCGTTAACAGGGGATCTACTATACTTTGCCCTCCTATCGTGTTTTTACTTCCTTTGTTGTTGTAAAGGTCTTTCCCCGTGCCCCCCGCTTGGACGTCTGTGACAAAAGAGCCTCGTAGCTCATCGGATTCCTCCTCCTCCTCCGACAATAAATAAAATACCCTGACCCTGGTGGCGGGCGTCGGCGCAGGGAGGCAGCCAGAGCGTCAGGTGACCGTGTCCGGACGGGAGAGCTCTGTGCTCATCGAGGACCTGCAGCCGGGCGCGGACTACTCGGTCAGCCTGCGCGCGGTGACGGAGAGAGGAGACCAGCCCGCGGGAGAAACCCTCACCGCCACGCACACCACGGGTAACCGCCCCTGGCGAAGGGAGGCCGCAGTCCCAGGCCAGCTTTCCTCGCCCTCTCAAACGATCGATAACATTTGAATTTGTTTTTTTTTTTGAAAGGCGCCCGTCTTGAAAAATGTAGCCCTCCCCCCTCCCCGCCGCCCCCCTATACGTACAGTGAAGGAAAAAAGTATTTGATCCCCTGCTGATTTTGTACGTTTGCCCACTGACAAAGAAAAGATCAGTCTATAATTGTAATGGTAGGTTTATTTGAACAGTGAGAGACAGAATAACAACAAGAAAATCCAGAAAAACGCATGTCAAAAATGTTATAAATTGATTTGCAGTTTAATGAGGGAAATAATTGTGCCCATTGCTTCCCTCCATGAGTGCGCCACGGTGGTGAGATGTTAACTACCTTGCCTGGTGCACATGAGGTCGTGGGTTCGATCCTGACACTGATGTCTGTTGTTTATTCGTCGTGGATTTTTCTCCGGGGTCTTCTCTGGTTTTTCTCTCCACACTAAGAATCAAGGCTATACATTTCCACGTGATAAGCCACTTCGTTGAGCTATCATTTGTCACTTCTGAAAATTAAGCTAATGGCTCAGTGGGCTTTAACCTGGTAAGAGAGCCCAATGGAGTGGCTTGTCATGTGGACATTTCTATCAGCCAAATACTCGAAATGCTCTAAATGAGGAGGGAAACACCAGAGGACCCAAGGAAAATCCACGTGGCCATAGGGAAAGAGAGAGACACACACAAACTCCAAATATACAGCAGTCGTCAGGGCCGGGTTGGAACCCACGACCTCCTGTACACCAGGCGAGGTAGTTAACATCTCCTAGCCACCGTGATGATGATGAGAGAGAGACACACAAACTCCAAATATACAGCAGGGGTCAGGGCCGGGATCGAACCCACGACCTCCTATACACCAGACGAGGTAGTTAACATCTCCTAGCCACCGTGATGATGATGATGAGAGAGACACGCAAACTCCAAATATACAGCAGGCATCAGGGCCGGGATGAAACCCACGACCGTCTGCATACCAGGCGAGGTAGTTGACATCTCCCCGCCATGGTGACGCCTTGTCCGGTGGGTGGGTCGTCATTGGTGACGACGTGGCATGCCCGTTGGGGGGAGGGGTCACCGTATCCGTGCTGCCCCGCAGGTATCGACGGTCCCACGGACGTGGAAGCGGTGGAGGTGCGCGACACGAGCATCCTCCTGCGCTGGGCCGCCCCCCGCGCCCCCGTGCAGGGCTACCGCGTCTCCTGCTCCCCCACGGGGGGTCACGACGGAGCCCCCATCGCCAAAACCCTCTCCAGGGGTAAAGATCTCACGCACGGCGGCGGTGGGGAGGAGGCGGGGGGAAGGTGGGGGCGGGGGGGGGGGTACATAGCCACGACGCTCCAGAAACTAGGATGCCATGCCCCCCACCCCCCTTTCTTTCAAACTTAGAGGGGGGCTTTGCCTAAATTCGATCCGGAAACCGCTACATGTTACCAGGAAAGCGGGAACGACAGCACAGACTCCTTCCGTGTGCGTTAAAACCTCCGCACCCGCGATAAGCACAGGTTGGCCACGTACGGTGAGAAAGAAGTTCAACATACGTACAACCTGGAACATGCGGTAACCCATACCCAGATGTTGCCGCTCCTCCGGATTAGCAGTGGCACTTTTACCCCGCCGTGTTTCCCAGCGCACCTTGCAGTGCGGTAGCTGTGTGTCGCGTGCGATCAGATTTGTATGAATCTGAGACACCGGGCACACGTTTGGCACGCGTCGTATGTTTCCGGAGGAGTCTTACAACGCAAAGAATACGGCGGTACCACCACACCTGGGCTAATGCGACCACACCTGGGCTAATGCGACCACACCTGGGCTAATGCGACCACACCTGTGCTAAAACGACCACACCTGGGCTAATACAACAACACACCTGTAATCATAGCCCATCCACTGTCCATTCGTGTTGGTTCACGTTCCTGTGTGCGTGTGTGTGCGCGCGTGCGTAGGTCAGTCAGAGGTTACGATCGACTCGCTGTCTCCGACCACGGAGTACTTCATCCAGGTGGTCGCCCTGGGATTCGCGCAAAACAGCGAGGCGACGAGCATCACGGTGCAGACCGGTACGCCCAGAGCCCTGCGTGTGCGCCGGAGGTGCCAGCGCATCTCACGCCGCGACACCGCGACACCCACGGCACCCACGACACCCACGGCACCCACGACACCCACGACACCAACGACACCAACGGCACCCACGACACCCACGGCACCCACGGCACCCACGACACCCACGGCACTCACGACACCCACGACACCAACGGCACCCACGACACCCACGACACCCACGGCACCCACGACACCCACGACACCCACGGCACCCACGGCACCCACGACACCCACGGCGCCCACGGCGCCCACGACACCCACGACACCCACGACACCCACGACACCCACGGCACCCACGACACCCACGACACCCACGGCGCCCACGGCGCCCACGACACCAACGGCACCCACGACACCCACGACACGCACGACACCCACGGCGCCCACGATTCCGATTTCCGATTCCAACGCACGTCCATCGCAGGCGTGGACCGCCCCCGGGGCCTCACGTTCCGGGACGTCGGCGTGGACTCGATGGTCGCCTCGTGGCAAGCGCCGGAGGGCCGCGTCACGGGCTACCGGGTCACCGTCCAGGGCGCGGGAGACGAGGACGGGGGATTCTCGCGCGAGGTGCTGCCCGCGCCGGGCCCCGACGCCGACTCGGTGACCGTCGGCGGGCTGCGGCCGGGCCAGGAGTACACGGTGCGCGTGTTCGCGCTGAGCGGGCACCGCGAGAGCGTGCCGCTCACCGGCACACAGATCACGGGTGAGGGCAAGCCGCTCGTCGCCGCCATTCGCCGACGGCGCTCGCCGTGGCTCGCTGCCGCTCACCAACAACTCGCCGTCGCTCGCCGCCGCTCGATTCCGCCGCTCGCCGCCAACTTGGCATCACTCACTGCCGCACCCGGCCGCTCACCACCAACTCGCCGTCTCTGACCGCCACCCACCTCCACTCCTCTCCGCCCTAATATTAAGAGCTCGGCGCGAGGCAGTGCACGCGCGAATAAAAAATTGTTCCGTTTTATTTGCACGTATTTGTTTACCTTTCCTATACTTTGCACTCCTATCTAGTTTTACGTGTTAATTTGTTGTTTTAAAGTTCTGATCCCGTGGCCCCGACTGGACACCTGTTTAAAAAGAGCTTCATAGCTCATCGGATTCCTCCTGCAGTAGAATCAAATATTCTCATTTAGATATAAATGTGTGTATAGAGAGAGAGAGAGCTCATAACGTGGTTGGAACTTGGCCGCTGATGACGATCACTTGAGCGAGCCCCGCAGTGCAGGCCGCGATTATTCCTCCGCAACCATCTGCCGGGAGCAGCGCCTCTTGATTCTAACCCTGACGCATTCCCCCCCCCCCCACCGCCCCCCATGCCCCCGCCCCCCGCTTGGCTCAGCCATCCCCCCGCCGACGGCGCTGGAGTTCCCGGAGGTGGGCGCCGACTCGGTGGCGGTGCGCTGGAGCGCTCCGCGGCCCGACGCCGGCCTCACGGGCGTCCGCATCGTGTTCGAGCCGCGCTCCCGCAAGGCCTCGCGCAAGGAGATCTCCGAGGGGCCCCGCGCCACCGCCACCACCGTCACGGGGCTCACGGTGCGTCGCCTGCGTGTGTGTGTGTCACGTGTGCGTGTGTGTCACGTGTGCGTGTGTGTGTCACGTGTGCGTGCGTCGCGTGCGTGCTTGCGTCGCGTGTGTGTGTGTCACGTGTGCGTGTGTCACGTGTGCGTGCGTCACCTGCGTGCGTAACGTGCGTGTGCGTCGCCTGCACGCGTGTGTCACGTGTGCGTGTGTCACGTGTGCGTGTGCGTCACGTGTGCGTGCGTCACGTGCGTGCATCACGTATGTGTGCGTCGCACGTGTGAGCGTGTGCATCACGCGCACGTCTCTTCTTGGGGCTAAGATCGATTCGCCCCGTCGTGAGACGTACGGAGCGTACCCTGTCGCACCACCCCCTGGCTTGGGCGAGATGTTAACTACCTCGCCTGGTGTGGAGGAGGTCGTGGGTTCGATCCCGATTCTGACGCCTGCTGCTGTGTATTTGGAGTTTGCATTTCCTCTCTCTCGCTCCCCGTGGTCTTGTGGATTTTTCTCCGGGTCCTTTGGTTTCTCCCTCCATGCATTTAGAGTATTTGGGCTGCTTATGAATCTCCACGTGATGATGATAAGCCACTTCGTTGAGCCAGCATTTGTGGTCAAGTCGCTTCTGCAAAAGGGCTACGTAGCTCAGTGGATTTTACCTGGTCAAATGAAATGGTAATAGATATTCCTTGTCGAAGACACTGGTGGTGGAACCGTGAACGACAATAGGACATCATCAACAGGCCAAAGCTGCACCACGTCTCCTTCATGAATGGATAATTAAAAACCCGAGCCACAGCCGTGCGATTGTGCCATGCAACCTGAACTATGAACCCATATAGTAAACCACATAGAGACACTGCCCATAGACTTAACATTGCCCATAGACTTAACATTGCCCATAGACTTAACATTGCCCATACACAGACGAACACGTTTTTTGAGGACAGGACACGGCTCGCGCACACATGGAGAGAGACAGAGAGCGAGAGAGAGCAAGAGACAGAGAAAGACCAGAGAGAGAGAGGGAGACCCAGAGAGATAGAGAGAGACCCAGAGAGAGAGAGAGAGACACACAGAGAGCGAGAGAGTGAGAGAGCATTTTCTTGAAGGGTGTTCCCCCGTGTCGTCGGTGCAGGCAGGAGTGGACTACGCCGTGTCCGTCTACGCCGTCAAGGACGCCCTGACAAGCAAGCCCCTGCAGGGCACGGTGCGCACGGTGGAGAGTAAGTCTGGTCCTGCACTACCGCATGTCCACCGCACCGTCCCTGTGGTGAAGGCGTCACCTCCTGAGCTTCGCAATGCCAGAAGCAGAGTGCCACTATACTCTTTGGTTCTATTCGGTAAAGTCACGTAGGTAAATAATAAAACAACAATAATCACGACGTTTCGGCCACAACACAAGCGGCCTTCATCAGGTGAAGGGACGAGCCTGTCCTCCGCTGTCCTCCAGACAGTCTCGTCCCTTCACCTGATGAAGGCCGCTTGTGTTGTGGCCGAAACGTCGTGATTATTGTTGTTTTATTATTTACCTACGTGACTTTACCGAATAGAACCAAAGAGTATGGATCCTTGCAGTCACGAAAGCTTCAAATCTAGAACAGAGTGCCACTATCAGGGGGCCTCTATCAGGGGACCACTGTCAGGGGGCCTCTATCAGGGGGCCACTATCAGGGGGCCTCTATCAATGGGCATGGTTGGCTGCGTACGGTGTGAAAGAAGTTCAACACACGTACACACACCGCACCTCCAAATGAGCATGGTTGGCTGCGTACGGTGTGAAAGAAGTTCAACACACGTACATACACCGCATCTCCAAATGAGCGTGGTTGGCTACGTACGGTGTGAAAGAAGTTCAACACACGTACATACACCGCATCTCCAAATGAGCATGGTTGGCTGCGTACGGTGTGAAAGAAGTTCAACACACGTACACACACCGCACCTCCAAATGAGCATGGTTGGCTACGTACGGTGTGAAAGAAGTTCAACACACGTACACACACCGCACCTCCAAATGGGCATGGTTGGCTACGTACGGTGTGAAAGAAGTTCAACACACGTACATACACCGCATCTCCAATGGGCATGGTTGGCTACGTATGGTGTGAAAGAAGTTCAACACACGTACATACACCGCACCTCCAAATGAGCATGGTTGGCTACGTACGGTGTGAAAGAAGTTCAACACACGTATACAAGTCCGCGACGTCATCATCGCCACCCCCCCCCCTCCCCCCCGCCCCCCCCACAGGCATCCCCGCGCCGTCCAAGGTGGTGGTGACGGAGACGCACGCCGGCTCGGTGACCCTGGAGTGGCGCTCACGCCCCGACCCGCTCACCGGCTTCCTGATCGTAGTTCAGCCGGCGGCGGCGGGCGCCGGGAGGCACCCCGCGGAGCACACGGTGCCGCCCGGCGCCCGCGCCTTCACCGTCACCGGTAACGGACGCGCACCCTCGCCGGTAATGGGCACACGCACCGTGCCAGAGCCGGGGCCGGCAACCCGAAACAACAAGGAAGGGGGCTTTTTTTGTTTGTTTGCTTGTTCGAATTCGGTAAAAAAAAAAAAACCTCAAATATTTCAAGAGCGGCGGTGCACTGCGGTGGCGAATGGGGGGGGGGGGCGGCGGTCATCGACAAATAACACCGTGGGTCCTAAACGAGCCACGTGCGGCTCAGCAGCCGTGGGATTGCCGACCCGCTGCGATAGTCCACGGCCAGGGCAGGGATTGGTTCCAGCTGAAGGCTTGCGGCGCCGCCGCAGCTTTGAGCCGCGCCGATCGATCGGTACGGCGGCCGAGGGTGAATTTGTCGACGACCAACGCTCGTCTCGAACGGTCGTGACGCGACGTCGCCGTTGATCGGTCCACGCGAGGAGCCGTCGGAGCCGCTGAGAGGCGTCCGCCGCATCTCGTGGTGCCGACGAGGCCGAGCGTCCGGTCCGGGCCCACGCGGACTAGAGAACGGCCCCGCGGAAGCGGATGGATCGCCGGCTCCCTCCGGGATCACGGCCAAGTGGCCCTCTGGTCGAGGCGCACAGCAGCGGTGAGCACTCGCCCCGCTTCGCTGTGCCACGTGAGAGGCGGGAGGTTCATCGTCGCGCGGCAGTCAAATAAAAATTAAACGCCGGGGGGCCACGTTTCGTCGTTTTTGGTTTGCCGACCCCCTCCCCTCCCTCCTCCCCCCCCCCCCCGGATCATGGGAAGCGTTTGCCGGCGGGCGGTATTCGTCTCCCGCTTAGATCGCCCAGCGAAGCGAACGCACGTGCGATCCGAACGTCGTGTCCCGTGTCGACAGGACTGCAGCCCGGAGTGCGCTACGTCATCTCCATCTACGCCGTGCGTGGCGGCAGGAGGAGCCAACCCGTCACGGTCACCACCGCCACCGGTATTTGAGCAGCGCCGGGACGTTGGAACGGTCTTTGCGGATTTTTTTGCGGCGTTTTTATCGCGCGCATTTTTTTTTCTTCCCTCCGGTTTTTTTTTGCCCTCCACCGTTTCGGAGCAATGCGTTGGGATGACTTTGATTATTTGGCTACTGCTGCCAGTGGCCACGTGACAACGATGATGATGATGATGGGCCACCTTCGTTGAGCGGCCAGGTCGCCTCTGACAAAGAGCTGCAGAGCTCAGTGGGACCTGACCTGGTGAAATAAAACATTGTTTAGTTCATATTCTTGGTTCTTTCGGTAAAGTCACGTAGAAGGGAAACAATTAAATAATTCAAATGTAAAAACAATATGAATCCCTGCAGTCACGAAAGCTTTAAATAAAACATTGTTTAGTTCATATTCTTGGTTCTTTCGGTAAAGTCACGTAGAAGGGAAACAATAAAATAATACAAATGTAAAAACAATATGAATCCCTGCAGTCACGAAAGCTTTAAATAAAACATTGTTTAGTTCGTAGCTTAAGCACAGATTCCGTGCTCTGTCTGTCAACTGAATTTTTCCCACACCCCCCGGGCCGTGCATCTTTACGAAAAACCTCACGTACCAAAATAATAGCCTTGGCCTTAGGCCTCATTTGGAAGCCACTGTGAGCGATGCAACTTTGAAATCTGAATTGAAAACGAATTTCTTTAAAATAGATTTCGTTTGTTGTCCTTCCCAGTGCACCTCTGATTAGCGCGGTTGGCGACGTACGCTGTGAAAGAGGCTCAACGCGCATAGATTCCATTCTGTTTTTAATTCATAGCTAGCGCCCTTTCCAGGGCGTTTTACAACGCAAACCGACGGGTGGTTACACTAAGGGGAAAAAGGGGAGCCACGGTGTGGGGTGGAGCGGCTGTCAGCGAGGGAGGTGACGGAAGGGATGGAGGGACAGGGGCTGGGAAAGGATCCACGTGATGTTGCAGGGGGTTGGGATGGAGGAATAATGTGGAGTGTGATGGTGAATTAGGGTGACAGATGGGCGCAACGTCCATAGGCACGAGTCATCGCAAGACACGGGGAAGGCACGCGTAGGGGGAACCCTTGCCCAGTAGGCGAGGGAGTGCTGACGCTTTCTCGCTCCGTGTCTCTCTCTCTCTCTCCGGTGCTCCGGGGTCCTGCCAGCCGTGGACTCGCCCACAGGCCTGAAAGTCACCTCCACGGAGGACAGCTTGACCCTGGGCTGGACGCGCCCGAGGGCCTCCATCACCGGCTACCTGCTCACATGCCAGGCCGCCCGAGGAGGGCCCGCGCGGGAGCACTTGCCCGACGTCAGCGCGACCCAGTACACCATCACCGGTACGCAGAGCGCGGTGTGCCGCCATCACCGCCTCCACCGTCGTCACCGTCACCTTCACCACTACCGCCGCCATTACCACCACAGCCGCCACTGCCACCACCACCGCCATCGAAAACAAAGACAAAAATAAAGATCCCCCGTATAGCCTCAACAGACTGTTGGGGCAAGTGCTGTTAGCGAACCACCATTACCACCACCACCATCACCACCACCGCTGAGATGCAGGGTTCGAATCTGCGTGATTGAAATTGGTAATCAAGCGTCATTAATCGATGGTCCCAGCTCTCGTGCTTAGGGATGATGTCACCGTAACTCAGTCACAGGATCAGACACCCGCTTGGCATCGATAGGATGCCAAGTTGTGAATCTGGTTTTCATTCGCCCGGTTCTCGAGTGCAGTGCTCATGCCCAACGTCACAGCGATTAAACAAACCTCTCCTTCTGCCGTATCCCTCACACTGCTCCACTTGGAATTCCCTCCATCATCTCGCCACGGTGACTAGGAGATGTTAACTACCTCGCCTGGTATACAGGTGGCCGTGGGTTCGATCCCACCCCTGACGCCTGCTGCTGTATATTTGGAGTTTGCGTGTCTCTCTCGCTCATCATCACGGTGGCTAGGAGATGTTAACTCCCTCGCCTGGTTTGCAGGAGGTCGTGGGTTCAGTCCCGACCCTGATGCCTGCTGCTGCTGTATATTTGGAGTTTGCGTGCTCTCCCTGTGGTCGTGTGGATTTTTTTCCGTTTTTTTTTAGTAAGGCAGGCACCGATGAGGGGTTAACAGGTATGCGAACATCCCCGTTGCAGATCTGCAGTCCAACACGGAGTACGTGTTCAGCCTCGTGGCAGTGCAGGACACTGTGAGGAGCCACCCTCTGCGTGGCTCCTTCCGTACCGGTGAGCCAGCGGCACCCTCGCTTCCACTGCCACAACCGCGCGAGCGCACGGCGAACGATTCAAGACGCGCACAGACGGCACGGACGGCACTGTGAACGTGTCGTCGTCACCGTACCTGGCCCTGCTTGGCCCCAAGGAGCACAAACCATTTACGCGAGCTCCGGTTACCCTCGCAGGAGGGGCAGCTTTTTGGCTGGCCATCGAGTAAAGACGTGCATCTGCGGCCGTCTGGAACGCTCTTCCTTCAGATATTCGGAAGCCGCTGGAGCTATGCACTCTGAAATAATTAACATTGGTAACTCATTTCTTTAGAACTGCTTTTTGGTGTTTAGCTTGTTGTCCTTCCCCCGCACATCCAATTAGCACGGTTGGCTACGTACGGCGCGAAAGAACGCCAAATGCCGCTGGAATAAGGTGACGAGAATTAGGAATCGACATCGGTCGATGTCGATAGTGCAGACGCCTGGCGGCGCCCGGACGTTTGTATCGTCTCGACTCGTCGGCGCTAATCATGGCATGCAAGTGAAAAAAATATATATATAAAACAACAATAATATTGAACGCCACGTCTGTTGCTGACCTGCTCACGACGCCGCGTGTTTGCAGCCGAGGCTGCGAGGCCGGAGCCGCTGGCGACGTCGGCCCCCCGGCCACCCATCGCGCCAGCGAAGGTTCCCGCGGGCCGGGGACTCCCGTCCCGGCGAGGGGACACCTCGCCCCTGTCGTCGGAAACGCGCTTCGACGGACACGAGATGGGACCGTGGGCCGGGCAGCGGCACGTGGAGACGATCGTGACAGAAGTCCGCCCCGGGTAAAACCGACGTCACCTCGTTTGCTCTTATTTAAGAGCGGGGACGCGGGTGGATCTCTTTGCGATTGTGGCGAAGGAAAAATTTGGCCCGGCGAAGGCCGGATGTAATTACCGGCGAAATGTCGCAGTGCTCAAATTGTAAATGTTGTGGTTTTACTCTGCTGACAGCACCGGTGAGCTGGAGTGGTAACTAATTGTGCACGTTTTGTTCACGTGACGAACCTTACTGACTGGTTGTGTCGGGTGGTGGCGGGTTAAAGACGCACATTCATATTTACGAGATCCAAACCCCCCCCCCCCCCAAAAAAACCTTTATTATTAATAATATTGGTCGCGAAAGCCTACGCGTTAAACTGACAAACGTGCTCTGCTGACATGCTTCCATGTTACCACAAGTACGTGTGTGGTTTCCGCGGTACTTGATTCCTTGCAAAAGGTACCTATTTGGTTGTTATTTTTTTTTCATACGGAATGTCACCTCTCGCGCATCCCCGCGTTGAGCGTTCACCGCCCCCGGACTTGTCCGTCAAGCGCATTGTTGATCTCCCTTTCCTCCCCCCCATCCCCACCCCACCGATGCCTCTCCCCTTACATCCCTTCACCTCCTCCCCTCCACCACCCCGCCTTGCCCTCCCGCAGCGCATCGCTGCCGTCCCACCAGGGCGGCATGCAGCTGCAAGTCGACGGAGTGGCCCTGGTGGCGCCGGCTCTCCTCGCCCCCGAGGTTCAACTCGAGCAGCACCTCACCGAAACGGAGGTGACGTGGGTGCCGCGCCGCCAGGCCTCGGAGTACCTGGTGTCGTGTGTCCCCGTGGGAGGCTCCGCCGACGGCACCGCGCCCATACAGGTGACCGGAAAAAAACGCCGCATCCTGTTAGCCCCGTGGCAATATTTACAGGAATTCCTCTACTTACGAACGAGTTAGGTTCCAGAGGCACTGTTCGTAAGTCGATTTGTTCGTGAGTCCAACTTTACTCCTGTCGATTCCGAACGCGTCGTGTGGCTTGTACGCTAAACGCGGGGAAAGGGTTTGAACGTTGTATAATCTCCTGTAGATGTAGATGCCACTGGTTCTTCACGCTCCGCAGAGTGACTCTCGGCCCAAACAGGCAACTGGACATACGGACAGCTTTGTTCGTATCTCTGAAAGTTCATAAGTCGAATGTTCGTAAGTAGAGTCATCCCTGTATTTATTTGTATTTTATAAATTATATTTTAGATTTTATTATGATGATTTTTTTTAAGATCACAACTCAACGTGAGTCCAATATGAAGCCGCAGGTCACTGAACAAACGCAGGGAAGGGGGGGGCGGGGGGGGGGGGTTGGTGAACAGAAATCAGCAGCCCCGAGTTTCGGCACGACAGGGCCTTAGTGAACGGGGTGCTGGGAGGAAACTGGGCTCACTGCTCCCCCCCCCCCCCCCCCACCCAGGTGGGGAACAACGAGCAGGGGGTGAGAACATGAAAATGTACCGATCCGTGTTTGTGTTCTCCGACGAGGACCCCCGAGATCTTCGAATCGCACTTCTTCCTAAGGACTCCCGAGGTCAAGGCTCCCTCCCTCTCTGTCCCTGGGCTGATCGGCCTTTTCACCTGCGCTGTGCACTGCCGCTGCCGGCCTTTGGGACGACGCTTTTGCCCTTCGTTAATGCGCCTAATCGGACTCGTTAGTCGCTGTTTAAGTCTTGTCAAAAAAAAAAAAAAAACATCTCACACAGGAGTCCCGACCGTCGAACCCTCCCGGTTTGCGACCTTCCACGCCGCCAATGTCCGACCGTCACCCGAATCGGGACCGGGGCCGCGTGGCCGATTGGGGGCCACCCGACGCCACGAACGGCGCCGTCAAAGATTCGGCGGCCCCTTGCGAAGCGGTCCGGCCACGGAATCCCAAACCGTCGGCCGCATCGTAAACACTCCGCCGCCTTCGCCCCTTTAGAGGAGGAACGGACGAGGTCCCCGCTCTGCTTCTGAACAGACAATCGACTAAAAATGACATCTTTAATCTGCTGCTATGAAATCCATACGGATGAAGAAGAAGAAGAAGAAGTCCTCCGTCTTGTAAAACTCGCCTCGTTAAATTGGCCTCCACTCCCCGCCTACTTCTGGCTGTGTCCCCCGGCAGGTTCTAATTTGTTTCCCGGCTTTCCAAACACGGCGACGGCGCATTCGGATCAACCGCGCAGCGTAAGCCCGCAGCTTGAAACTCAGATTTCGTTCTTTTCGAAACTTAAATGTAATCGTATTCTTGGTTCTTTCGGTAAAGTCACGTAGAAGGGAAACAATAAAATAAAAATAAAAATTTATAAAAAAAAATATTTTTATTATTTTATTGTTTCCCTTCTACGTGACTTTACCGAAAGAACCAAGAATATGAATCCCTGCAGTCACGAAAGCTTTACATCAAAATTTAAACGTAATCGTTACGAGAATCACCGCAATCCCAGCACGCTGAAGACTTGACGGGCCGAGGGACTTGGAGGAGATATATACACATCTGTCAACCCCTTATCAGACAGTATTGGTCACCCAATGCCCCTTATAAATCTCAACGTTTATCCTACAAAGTTCCATCACAAGGGAGAAACACAAACAAATAGACAATCACCACCACTACACTCACCACTAGTACACTCACCACTACATACCTGTCAACCCCTTATCAGTGTCCCTACCTTATTACAGACCAATTCAGACAGTATTGGTCACCCCGTGCCCCTTATAAATCTCAACGGTTATCCTACAAAGTCCCATCACAAGGGAGAAACACAAACAAATAGACAATCACTACCACTACACTCACCACTACACTCACCACTACACTCACCATTTGTACACTCACCACTACACTCACTACTACACACCTGTCAACCCCTTATCAGTGCCCCTACCTTATCACAGACCTATCCAGACCTTATTGGTCACGCCGTGCCCCTTATAAATCTCAACGTTCGCCCTACAAAGTCCCATCACAAGGGAGAGACACACACACACACACAAATAGACAAATATAGTTGTTGTTGTTGCCCGTATTGAAACGGCTGTACGCCAAAAGGACCTCAAAACTCAATTTCCCTGGACAAGATTACGGGGTAAACCGTGATGGGTTGACGGCTACGGTCACACAGCTTTCGACGCCATCGCCCGAACGCAGCCGTGACGGATCTGCCCCCCAACCCCCCCGTCGCAGATGCGGCTTCCAGGCAGCCTGAGCAGCACCACGCTGACGGGGCTCATGACGGGCACGCAGTACAGCGTGGTGGTGGAGGCTCTGCACGGCTCGCGTCGAGACAAGGTGCTGGAGGAGTTCATCACCCTGCTCAACACCGGTACGCGCACCATCCCCCACCCCCCCACCCCCCACCCCGCTCTCGTCGGGCAACGACAAAGGTCTCCCGTGTAGCCTCGAACAGAGCGTTGGGGCAAGTGCTGTTCGCCGAGTGCCTCCGCGAAGGGTAAGGCCCATGGAGCTGTGTAGCTCTTATTTCAGGAGTGACCTGGCCACAGATGATCGTGCAACAGAATGGGGTCATCATCATCATCATCGTCGCGTCGACATTTTTCAGCAGCCAAATGCTCTTAAACGCGTGACGTTGATTCTAAATGTGGAGGGGGAAAGCCGGAGGAGCCGGAGAAAAATCCACGTGGTCACGGAGAGAGAGAGAGAGAGACACGCAAACTCCAAATATACAGCAGCAGCAGCAGGCGTCAGGATCTGGATCGAACCCACGACCTCCTGTAGACCAGGCGAGGGAGTTAACATCTCCTAGCCACCGTGACGCCCCCGTAGTCCTGCGATGAGACAGTTCACAGATGGGCCACGTATGACACTGTGACGGTGATGTGGCGGTGATGTGGCGGTGTTGTGACGGTGATGTGACGGTGATGTGGCGGTGTTGTGACGGTGATGTGACGGTGATGTGGCGGTGTTGTGACGGTGATGTGACAGTGATGTGGCGGTGATGTGACGGTGATGTGACGATGTGACGGTGATGTGGCGGTGATGTGACGGTGTGACGGTGATGTGGCGGTGATGTGACGATGTGACGGTGATGTGGCGGTGTTGTGACGATGATGTGGCGGTGATGTGGCGGTGTTGTGACGGTGATGTGGCGGTGATGTGACGGTGTTGTGACGGTGATGTGACGGTGATGTGACGGTGATGTGACGGTGATGTGGCGGTGATGTGACGGTGATGTGGCGGTGATGTGGCGGTGTTGTGACGGTGATGTGGCGGTGATGTGGCGGTGTTGTGACGGTGATGTGACGGTGATGTGACGGTGTGACGGTGATGTGGCGGTGTTGTGACGGTGTTGTGGCGGTGATGTGGCGGTGATGTGACGGTGATGTGACGATGTGACAATGTGACGTCGATGTGGCGGTGTGCCTGGCGATGTGACGGTGTTGTGACGGCGATGTGACGCCGACGTGAATCTATCGCGTGCTGTCGCCCGAAACAGCGCCGATGAACTTGACGGGCGACGCGACGGACGACCGCTGCATGGACGAGGACACGGGGCGCGATTACGCGGTGGGCGAGGAGTGGGAGCGCCCCTCCAACACAGGATTCATGTTCCTGTGTCGCTGCCTGGGACAGGGCAGTGGGCACATCCGCTGCGACTCTTCCAGTGAGGCGACGCTCTCCCTTTCTCTCACTGTCTCTCTTTCTCCCTCTTTTGTGTTTTTGCTTCGTTCATCATTTCGGTTTTTTTGTTTGTTTTTTTTTTCTTTTCCCATTGCTTCGCTTTATGTGCAAAGCAGTGGGAAATGAAAGATTTTACGTATTTTCCCATTGTGAAACAAAGTAAATTTGTGCTCCTTTCTTCGTAGACGCAAACATCAACACGAAGAAGCACGCTCTGCTCCTCCTCCTTAACCCTTCCCTCTCTCTCTACCCCCTCTCTCTACCCCCCCTCTCTCTCTACCCCCTCTCTCTCTCTACCCCTCTCTCTCTCTACCCCTCTCTCTCTACCCCCTCTCTCTCTACCCCTTCTCTCTCTACCCCCTCTCTCTCTACCCCTCTCTCTCTACCCCCCCCTCTCTCTACTCTCTCTCTACCCCCTCTCTCTCTACCCCTTCTCTCTCTACTTCCCCCCCTCTCTACCCCCTCTCTCTCTACCCCCTCTCTCTCTACCCCCTCTCTCTCTACCCCCTCGCTCTCTCTACCCCCCCCTCTCTCTACCCCCTCTCTCTCTCTACCCCTCTCTCTCTCTACCCCTCTCTCTCTACCCCCTCTCTCTCTACCCCTTCTCTCTCTACCCCCTCTCTCTCTACCCCTCTCTCTCTACCCTCCCTCTCTCTACTCTCTCTCTACCCCCTCTCTCTCTACCCCTTCTCTCTCTACTTCCCCCCCTCTCTACCCCCTCTCTCTCTACCCCCTCTCTCTCTACCCCCTCTCTCTCTACCCCCTCGCTCTCTCTACCCCCCCCTCTCTCTACCCCCTCTCTCTCTACCCCCTCTCTCTCTAACCCCTCTCTCACTACCCTCTCTCTCTCTACCCCCTCTTTCTACCCCCTCTCTCTCTACCCGCTCTCTCTCTCTCTACCCCCTCTCTCTATCCCCTCTCTCTACCCCCTCTCTCTCTACCCCCTCTCTCTACCCCCTCTCTCTACCCGCTCTCTCTCTCTCTACCCCCTCTCTCTCTACCCCCTCTCTCTCTACCCCCTCTCTCTCTACCCCCTCTCTCTCTTCCCCTTCTCTCTCTACCCCCTCTGCCTCTACCCCCCCTCTTTCTACCTCCTCTCTCTACCCCCTCTCTCTACCCCCTCTCTCTACCCCCTCTCTCTCTACCCCCCCCCCCCTCTCTCTACCCCCTCTCTCTACCTCCTCTCTCTACCCCCTCCCTCTACCCGTCTCTCTCTCTCTACCCCCTCTCTCTACCCCCTCTCTCTACCCCCTCTCTCTCTACCCCCCCTCTCTCTACCCCCTCTCTCTACCTCCTCTCTCTACCCCCTCTCTCTACCCGTCTCTCTCTCTCTCTCTACCCCCTCTCCCTACTCTCTCTCTCTATGTTCCCCCTGTTTTTTTATATTATTTTCTAAAACTACCCTCTCCCCTTCTCTCCCTCTCTCCTTCTCTCTCCCTCTCTTCTCATTATCTCCCTTCTCTCTTTTTTTCTTTCTAATGAGGCCAAACTCTCTCTTTCCCTCACTCATCCAGTGAGGCCACTCTCTCTCTCTTTCTCTCACTCATCCAGTGAGGCCACTCACTCTCTCTCTCTCTTTCTCTCACTCATCCAGTGAGGCCACTCACTCTCTCTCTCTCTCTTTCTCTCACTCATCCAGTGAGGCCACTCTCTCTCTCTCTCGCTTTCACTCATCCAGTGAGGCCACTCACTCTCTCTCTCTCTCTCCTTATATCAGTCCCTATACCCAGGGCAAAATGCGTGACTTTTTGTTATCACCCACCCCCCCACCCCCCTCCCAGAATGGTGCCATGACAATGGCCAGAACTACCGCATCGGCGAGCAGTGGAGCACCACGACAGGCACGGGGCGCCGCATGAGCTGCACCTGCCTGGGGAACGACCTCGGGCAGTTCAAGTGCGAACCAGGTGGGTGGGCGCAATGACGCCGCGGGGGCGTCCCATCGGCAGCGGGGTGGCGGGGGGGGGGGGGTGGTGACACGTTGGTACATTCCGACTGGAGATCCGCCGCCCCGGCGTCACAGGTCGTACCCGGTGTCACAGGTCGCACCCGGGGTCACAGTTCGTAACCGGCGTCACAGGTTGTGCCGCGTTCACAGGTCACACCGGGGTCACGGGTCGTGCCGACGTCACAGTTCGTACCGGGGTCATAAGTCGCACCGGGGTCACGGGTTGTCCAGGGGTCACATTGTCGCGCCGGGGTCACCGGTCGTACCAGAGTCACAGGTCGAACAGGGGTCACAGGTCGTACGGACATTACAGGTCGTACCGCGGTCACAGGTTGTACCGGCGTTACATTAAAAAAAATGTGAACTTCACCTGTTCAGTTTCCTCTCGCGTATGAGGACGAATTAATCGGCCGATGAGACCTCAACACTTAGGGGGACCGCGGAACTTGGGCAGTTGTTGGCACCGGCTATCGTGTGGACGCCCTCCTGCTGTTCTGCGTTTCCTCGCGCCTCTGAGCCATCGCCCCGCTCTCGCTCCACGACAGCGGGGCGAGGAGGGGGGGGGGACGCGGTGTGTGGTGGCGCAGCGCTACAAAGTTGAAATCGGCGCCGAGGGGTTCTTTCCCTCGACGTCAGGTGTCATGAAATTAAATTGCTTCGACCTACGTCCTGCGATTTCACACGGACGCGGCACGCAGATGAGAACACGTGCTACGAGGGTGGGAAGGAGTACACCGTGGGACAGAAGTGGATGCGAAAGAACCGCGGCCTTGACTGCACCTGCACGTGCTACGGAGGACGCAGGGTGAGTCACGACGCCTGGGCACTTGTGGAAAGCAATTAGAGAAGCACGTTGAACTTCTTTCGCACCGTACGTAGCCAACCGTAGCTAATCGGACGTGCGGTGTATGTACATGTGTTGAAATTCTTTTGCACCGTACGTAGCCAACCGTAGCTAATTGAAGGTGCATGGCAAGGGCAATAAACTAAACACCAAAAAGGAGTTTTAAAGAAATGGGTTTTCAATCTAGACGATGATTTAAAAGTTGCATAGCTCCAGTGGCTTCCTAATATCGGAAGGAAGAGCGTTCCAGACGGCCGCAGAAGCGCATCTGAAAGCGCGCGATGCGGTGACCGTCTTTGTTCGATGGCTAGCCAAAAAGCCGCTGTGATGTGCAGAGACACAGACGGATACAAATATCAACATGTTGACAGATAGACACACAGGGATATACACAGAGACAGATACACACACATGCAGACAGAGAAACACTCAGGGAGACACACAGAAAGGCAGACACAGACAGATGCAAATTCAGATAGATGCAGATTGACATGTAAATAGTGGCACATAAAGACACACAAACAGGGAGACAACAACAACAACCGCCATTCGCAACTAAGTGGCAGTGACGACACCACAGCGCTTGTGCCAGGCTATGTGCACATTAAGGCCACGTGAAGTGTCGAACGCCCGCTGGCAGGAGCTCACGGGACAGACCCAGGTGCCATGGGTTGACCGACTGAGATGACTGGCAGATGCCCAGACACACACAGGGAGCGAGACACACATATACATAAAGACAAAGACACACACGGTAACCCTTATTTCAATCAGCATAGGAGCTCAGTGATTGGGATCAATGATCACGACGATTAATCAGATAATGATGATGACAGCGATGACTGAGGAAGATAATGACGATGGTGATGATGACGATGGTGATGATGACGGATGGTGACGATGACGATGACAACGACGACGACGGCTGATGATGCGTGCGCTTGTGTGTGCATGCTGTGCCCAGGGCTACCGTTGTGATTGCGGTGCCGTGCAGAACGTGGCGTCCAGTTTGGCCCAGGGACACAGCCTCCATCAAATCCGCAACCAGCTCCTCCGCCGCCCATTTGTAAGCGCCTTGCGTTCACGCTGTATTTTAGTCGCCGGCCTCAAAGCGCGCGCTCAAATACCGTCCCGTTATCCTGCTCTTATTCCACCTTGCGTTTGACTCGGTACTGAGAGTGTGCGGGTGGTGCAATTGCACCGGGGCACACAGGCCTGGAGCGGGGCCTGGTTAGGCATCAGGCTAGGGACCAACGTGAGTGACTGATGTGAAGTATCATTTGCTACAAGGGCTGGAAAGTTGAAATGTGGTTCAAACATAGCCGAGTTTATGCATTGTTAATCAGATAGTGGGGGGGGGGGGAGAAAGAAAAACAGAAGCACAGTACAAACCTATTTTTACTTTATTTCCAAAAGCATGAAGAGAAGTGCTTTGACCCGCAGTGTGGGTGGTTGAACACAGTGTTATGGGAAAAAAAACAGAATAGGTTTGCAGATTTCGATTTAAAGCTTTCGTAACTGCAATGATTCATCTTCATTGGTTCTCTCAGTAAAGTCACCACGTAGAATGAGAATAAAATAATAAATTGATAAAATCAAATAACACAATAATATTCTCACGACGTTTTGGCCACAACACAAGCGGCCTTCATCAGGTGAAGGGACGAGGCTGTCTGGTAGGACAGCGCTGGAGACAGTCTCGTCCCTTCACCTGATGAAGGCCGCTTGTGTTGTGGCCGAAACGTCGTGAGAATATTATTGTGTTATTTTATTTTATCAATTTATTATTGTATTCTCATTCTACGTGACTTTACCGAAAGAACCAAAGAAGATAGGTTTGTAGACTTAGAGTAAACTATCCTTTTGGCGTTCTCTGGTCGTCTAACCTTGGAGAAGAAGGCCGTCTCTCGTGGAGGCCAACTAGTTGGCATTTATTATCAGAGCATGTTTGTTTGCACGAATTAGCCGCTAGCTTGACATGTGGTCAGTGCAGACTGGGTTAATGCCTTGCTATAGGTGGCGGCAGGGGTGGAGCCGGGGGGGGGGGTGACAGTGAGGGTGACATTCTGCGTGTAAGTGTACGACACTCGGTCTGGCGAACTCCGTGCAACTGCGTTGTCAGAGCGTGTCCGCCAACCGATGGCGTCTGGTTCAACAGCCTGACTCTCTCTAAATCATTCTTGAAATTAAAATTTGTTGAATGTCACCCCCGGCCTGAAATCCTGGACCCGCCCCTGGGTGGGGGTGACGTCTATTTAGTGTTTTGGCACATCTTAACGCCTCCTGTATTATTTGCCGGAAAGGATATAAATCTATTATTTTAGATACTGCCAAAACAAAATAGGGTCTCATCGATGAACACGATGGCCGACGACGAAACGGTTTAGATTGAGCCCTCAACGTGTGTGAAGCAAATCGAAACAAACGAGTGAAGCTCACGGGATCAGTAGCCGTGGGGAGCGGCGATGGGAGAGTCAGGTGGCGAAACCACGAAACGGACGGCTTGGTTTAGACCCGAGTCCTCGACACGAGCTGGAAGAATCGGCGAGGCGAACGACTTACCGCTGACCGCTGACCGTCTTCTCCCCTCTCTGTTCCCAGCCGAACAAATGCACGTTTCAGTGCTGATGATGGACACGCCGGGGGAGGAGAAGAGGAGGTGGAGGGGGGTGGGGGGTGAAGCTGTGGAGTGGCGTTGGTGAGAGAAGACCTTTTTTTTCGCGAGGCGGCAGTGGAGCCTTTCCCGGCGCCGCGTGCGGCACTTCGTTCTCTCGCCGCTCGCAGCCGTCGTGAAGCTTTCTCGACTTCCGCCGCGTCTTTTTTTTGTTTGTTTATCCGCGGCTACGCGCGGCGCTCGGTTTCGTCGGCGAAAGGGGGGCGGTGGGCGCCGCCCTTCGGCCTCTGTGCGCGTCACGGGCGGATTCCGTTCCCGCGAAAGGTGAAGCTGGTCGGCGCTAGTGCCACGTTGCGCGTTAGTTCAAAGGAGGGTCTCTCGGCGTCCGCTTGGTTATTCGTGTTTACAGTCGCCGTCCTACTTTGATTTCGCAACGGGGATGATTTAACCGAAAATGTACGTGAGATTGGCAAGGAATATGGCCCGTTCTCACCCTATGCCCCCCCCCCCGCCCCGCCCCGTCCTGCTTTCAAAGTCATTCCTCGCCGCTCTGTTTTGCATTACGAGATGCTGTGCGTTCCGAACTGAACTTCCAACGCAGGATGCGGTTGGGCCAGCGGTGTAGTGTGGTTGGCACGGTCCCTCGTGGGTATTACCATAAATTGGGGTGTGACTGTACTTGCACGTCGCGATGGCTAGGAGATGTTAACTACTTCGCCTGGTATACAGGAGGTCGTGGGTTCGATCCCGACCCTGACGCCTGCTGCTGTATATTTGGAGTTTGCACGTTCTCCCCGTGGTCGCGTGAAAATTTTCTCCGGATCCTCCGGCTTCTCCCTCCACATTTAGAATCAGCGTCACGCGTTTCGACTATTTGGCTGCTATAAATTTCCACGCGACGATAAGCCACTTCGTTGAGCTGTCATTTGTGATGGCCAGGTCGCTTCTGTAAAAGAGCTACGTAGCTCAGTGGGGTCTGATCTGGTAACATAACAACAACAACAACAAAAACTCGATTGGGATCACACATGCACACACACAGCAGCAGCAGCATCGCTCCCTGTTGCTAGAACCTGGTAGGACCCTCCTGCCGAAAGATTCTTTGCACTCCTATCGTTTTTTTGTTGTTGTTGTTGGAACTTTCTCACCCGTCCCTTTACTGGGCATCTGTAAACAAAACAAAAAAGTTTCATAGCTCATCGGATTTCCCCAGAATAAAAAGTGAAAACAATAATCTGATTCTAGTGCAAGGAATTTAAATAGGGGGGGGCATTCTGTCCGATTCCTCTTCGTAGTCCGGTGCCCGACTCTCTCCCACTCCGTGAGGGCTGGTGCAGTTGCACTGCCCCGCACACTTGAGACGCCGAGAAGCCAGAGCGTCTGGGATTGTCGCTGCTCTCTGCAAACACGCGGCGCCTCTCTTGCCTGTCACGTAACGCTGGGTGAGGCTTGGCGGAACAGGTGGCAAAAAAGCATCGGTGCAACGGGGAGGGCTTGTGTGAGCGGCATGGGGGGTTGGAGCAAGAATCCGGAGGGGCCTGAAAGGAAGAATAAGCTGAGCAGTGAAATAAGGTGGCGCTTGTGACATTAATCCGAGTGTAATATCTGCTGATGAACGAGGACGCTATAATGCCCCATAAAAGCCAGATTGGTCATTCGAATGTGTTCGTTCATTGAGTGCGGCTTTAAGTAATGTTGGTGGTCAGGAGGCCACCGAATTCATTTACCAGACTAGAGAAATGCCATTGCATTAATTTAATCCACACGACAGCTCAATGTACAAGCACAAGTTCACCGCTGCGGCCGGTTGCAATGTCCTTTTGTAGTGCAAATCGAGAATAGGCAGTTGGTAAAACTCAACTCCAAACAAACAAACGAGGGAGGAGTTTTTTGGTCTTTTTTTCCCAGTGTTCTTGGCACTTGTCCGACCGCCGTCAATGTCAATGAGACGAATAATTGTCCCTTGGGGAACTTCCGCAGAGCAGCGCGACGCCCCCGTGTTAACAGGGTAGCCCGCGGAAGTTTATACCACAAAACTACTTCCAGGATCCTTTGAAAGTGACCGCTCGTCCACACTAGGGACAAAGCGCTTTGCCGTTACGCTTCGGTGCGGAGATATCACACTGCTGCCACCACGATAATTTCATCGTTTTATTCTCAAAGGCTGGGATTCTTGCCAAATGAAGTAATTGTTTTTTTTTGTTTGGGGGGGGAGGGTGGGGCGATCATTGGTGACTGGGCTATGACCATCAACTCGCTGCACTTGAGAACCCCGGTTTAAACATGAAGCAGTGGAAAAACACGGATACGGTATTTGTCCCGTGGATCATCGGCGATGCCAGTTCTGACCTCCTGAAACGCGGCCGCGCCCCAAGACACAAATTTAAAGGGCACAAAAAGAACGCTAATGCACGCATCAAAATAGATTGCGGATCCGCGCAAACTCGACACGGCCAGGACCTGACGGCAATGCAGGGGTGGTGCCGGGTGGGTGGGGAGGTGGGGGGGGGGTGATAATTGCTCACCCACATTTGCACCGAAGCAAATCGCGACGGCTCTGAAAATCGTCCACCCTTCCCTTCGCTCACGATCCACGTCGCGGGATTGCGAAACGCGGCAGCCGTCGAGCCCACCCGGGTTCGCATAACCAAGCTGCTCGATTTCGGCCGGGACCATTCGGGAACGCCGTTCTACCCACCGGGAATTGTTTGGGAACGCGCCACCACAGCGCCCGCCGCGGGGGTGGGGAGGGGTGGGGAGCGGGGGCGGGGGCTCTCCGGCGTTGCGAGAGTCTCCTTCCTCGCCGTCCCGAAGTGGCGCTCGCTATCGTTCGTAAATAACCGGAGTGTTTTACGCGAATGCCCGATAGAAGGCGGGAAAGGCACGCGGCCAGTCGTTCGTAAGCCTCTTTTTAACAGGTTCATAGTTCATAGTTTTCATTTATTTGGTATAGGCCCTGTGAGAGCCATTCGGCTCTTGAATCGGGTGCAACCGCAACAAACACAAAAAACATGAACAAGAAAAACATCTTAAAGTGATTATGTGACTGTGTAAAGGTAAAGGCGTAGCTCTGCAATTATTATCTCGCGCCACTCCTGGTGGCCACTCGGATGTTTTTTTTGAGTTGGGATTGCAGGGTTAAGGCACTGCCACTAGACTAGAACGTACGTCCATCCACAATCATAATACCGTCCCATATTGTTGTACCCTAATTGACTATAATCCTAGGAACATGTTTATAAAAGCGAAGAAAATTCGATGGAAAACGTGGCGCGATTATTTAATATGGCAGGTTCAAAAATAATTATCAGAACGCTGTTCGGGCTGATAAGAAGCACTGGTGTTGTTACCTGTCCATTTTAAGATACCGCCTGGGTTAAACGTGGGTCTACTTTAGTCGTGATGTGGCGTTAGAATGAAGCTTGTGTTTCCTTTCTAAACTTATATTAGTCTGGTGCTTTGTAAGGCCTGGACTTTGCTATGCAGGGTGGGAGTTGACAGGCGTTAGTTTTGCGGCCTTAAACCACAGCACCGATTTTGCGTCATCTAAAGCTAAGTTGGTGTTGTGAGGCAAATGTGACGTTGATTAAAAAAATGTCATTGTTCGTGTCCTCCCGTTAAATATCCACTGTGCCTTACCCGTAGCTGCTGTTCGCAACAAGAATAACAACAACGACGAAAAGCTGTGGCATATCTTTTGTATAAATAAACCATTATTGAGATTATTTTGTGTTTGAAAATTTCATTTGTTATTTTTTTTTCCAATATCTGGGATTTGCATGACCATCATGTCTCTAAAGGTGCGCTGGAGCAATGGTTCGCTGATTAAGACTCGAAATCAAGAGGTTACCGATTCAGTCTCCTGGCACGGCAGTTGAGACACAATGGGGCACGGTCCAATTTTTATTTAAAGCTTTCGTGACTGCAGTAATTTATATTCTTAGCTCTTTCGGTAAAGTCACGTTGAAGGGAAACAATAAAATAAAATAAAAATATATAAAACAATAAAAATTCTCACGACGTTTCGACCATAACGCATAAAAATTCTCACGACGTTTCGACCATAACGCATGGTCGAAACGTCGTGAGAATTTTTATTGTTTTATATATATTTTATTATTTTATTGTTTCCCTTCAACGTGACTTTACCAAAAGAGCTAAGAATATGAATAGGGGCACAGTTCCTCAAATCCTCCTATCTCTGTGCACGCGGCAGTATTAATGTGCTTGCCCACAGTCGATCTATGGGCATGTCGCGTGTGGTGGGCCAAAGTGTGGGGTACTGCCTCCTCTTCCAAGACGTCTGGCCAGGGTGGAAGAGTAGGCCAAGTAAGCCTGAAAGAGGAGCTCTCTGGAGCTTCGTCTCGTGGAGACCCTGCCACCAGCAGCGGTGGTGTGAGCGAGCAATTTCAGGGCTGCGCCTTTTCCTTTTACAGTTTGCTCACAACTCGAAGCGTCCTTGGCTTTAGGGGCCATCCATAAATGACGTCACGCACCTGGGGGGGGGGGGGTGGTTAGACATTTGGACGATGTGTGACGAGGGGGGGGGGGTTTGAGAAATGTGACGTCATATAAAAATGCGCAACTTTAGATAAATATAGACAACGCGTTCTACTTAATTAAATATACTTTTTAATAAATGTTTTCTCCTACAACATCAGACTGCAGCGCCACATTAAATACGCACTACAATGACAATAGTTTAAAGCGATTTGAGGCATGTTTTATTTTTTTGGGGGGGGGGCAGAGCTTTCTGACGTCATATTTGAGGGGGGGGGGGGTCTGACTTTTTGCGACGCCGTATGACGAGGGAGGGGGGGGGTCAAAAATCGTCCAAAATCGCGTGACGTCATTTATGGACGGCCCCCTTTAGGGGCACACGCCACGGGAGTCCACGGCTCACCAACAATATTGGCCTATATTTTGAAGCTCTTTCGCACGGCAATTTAAACCAATGAACCTCTGGAACTCCGTGCAGCAAAATTTTAATTATTGGCATCTCGGATTGCGGTTTTTTTTTCTTCCTCTCAAGTGACAAGCATTGACGTGATGAAACCTTCGCTGTACGGTGCTGCCATCCACTGGACACTGCCGTGGGGGAGTTTTTTTAATTTATATGAAATATTTGTTTCATTCCAGAATCAGGGGTGGGCTAATTTTTTTTGACTCGCAGGAGGCGACAAATGGGTTCTAAAATTTGACAGAGGGGCCGGTCAAAGTGCGCCATCTAATGGGGGAAATGGGGGCATTACAGGAGGAAGGTAAAATGTAATCTAATAATATTTGGACAAGTCACGTTGAAGGGAAACAACAAAATAATAAAATATATATAAAACAATAAAAATTCTCACGACGTTTCGACCAACACACCTGAAGACGACCGTTTGTGTTATGGTCGAAACGTCGTGAGAATTTTTATTGTTTTATATATATATTTTATTATTTTTGTTGTTTCCCTTCAACGTGACTTTACCGAAAGAACTAAGACTATGAATTACTGCAGTCACGAAAGCTTCAAATCAAAATATTTGGACAAGTTCGGCGGGCCTGATTAAAAAGCCCAATGGGCCGTACTTTTTTTCTTCTTCTTTGGTTCTTTCGGTAAAGTCACGTAGAATGAGCATAAAATAATAAATTAATAACATAAAATAACGCAATAAAACTCTCACGACGTTTTCGGCCACAACACAAGTGGCCTTCATGTCTGTTCCAGATCCTCCCTCTCACATCATGATATTGCAACATGCTGGCATTCTGGACGGCATTACCTGTTCCATCGACGCTATCAGCCACACCGAACTCATCAGAGCAGGCG